TATATCATATCACTCACTAATAAAATTTTATTTCTATGAATCACTCTCTCATAACATTTATAGAATAATGAACAATTCCAATCTCAACTAGATTCTAAACTCTACTGCCACATATATATATCCATAAAATTATCAAAGAAAAGACTCGGTTGAATATGCTCACAGCTATTTGGTTCTACATACAAGATTAAATTAAAAAAACACCACAACCAGCGAACAACGAAGATTTGTAATAAAATAAAAAGAAATCTTAGGATTGAATAATTTGAAAGCCAATGGTACTATATAAAGATAATTATCATATATATTTTTGCGAGTTTCAACATTAAGAGTCAGAACAACAAGAAACGTTAGATGCGGTAAAATTAAAATGACTATGAGCAAGAAAACTATTGAATAATCGTTAACAAAATATTTCAATGCACCAAAAAGAAAGAAACACATATGTATTAAGGTTTTAATTCATAAAACAATTTGGTAGTTAAATCATGAAATTTTGCATATGCTATTGCTAGCACTTGAATTCAAATCAGCTACGTCTGATTTTTGAATTTGTGCACTAAATAGATAATTAATTATAACTTGAGTCATATAACCAGTTGAACCACCAACAAGACTTATTGGAAGATTATAGAAATCTTTAAGAGGATCTACTGACTTCGTTTGCTGTTCAAATAACTTGATTGCGTCACTTATTAAATAATCAACATCAAGTGGTTGAACAAAACATAATTCTGGATTACGTTCAAGTAGAACATTGATCGATTCAAACATCTAAATTTTCAATAAGAAAATTAAAGAAAAGATAATTAAAAAATGCTTATATTTATGTATTACTTCTACAACAAGACAACGATAAGCTGGATCAAGTATTCGACCAAGCATTTCTTCTGTTTTCAATGAAAAATTCAATTCATAATCTGTCATATCAGACAGTGTTGGTTGCTAGAAAAAGAATAAAAAAATAAATAAAATATGTCTGATTAAATTTTCTACAAATTTCCTTGTGGAAGTAAAATACTACAAAGTTGTATTCCTTTCGGTGCTCTTACAAGTATAGACCAAACATGTTCATAAAAATTAGTCGGTACTCATGATAAAGCTCCATCCATTTGTCGTTTTTGAAATGATGATCTAATTGATTTTTTAGAAAATTTCAATATTTTTCATTCAATTGTTTTACCTTTGTTGTATATCACCACCTTGTAATGTTGATTGTTGTAAATTAGTTGTAAAAACATAATAGAGTAATTGTTTGATTTCATTGGGTGATATTGTATTTAGTGTCTTTTAAAGAAATATGATGAAACAATTAGAAAGCTCTTAATATTATTCTTCTCGGAGTAAATTGATCGGACAACGAATATTCCATTCTATTTATTCCGCACTCTTACATCAATATTTTTATTTCTAGATTGAACACAGTCGGTAATATATTCTAGATTAAGATTGTCGTAATCTGTAGCATTCTCCTAGATTCATATATAAGGCTGTATGATAGTTCTCTGATTTCTTACACGACAGCATATGACATCCTCCACATCACTTTTGCTAAAATTTAAGAGGTGAAGAGAATTGGAAATTTTTATCTCTATATTTTACTAATCGTTTCAGATTATATTTCTCAACAAACTAAAAATGAAAACTGCTTACCCCAATCTCTTCATTATCAGTTCTTGAAGATTCTAATTCAAGTTTCATTGCTTCAAGTATCCATCTATGAAATAAGAAAAATATTGAAAAAATACTTTAATAGAAAATTTCCTGTACCCCAGTCTTATTTTAAGAATGCCATTAAAAAGTTGCTAATAGAAATAGAAGTAATTATGTTATTTAAGGTAATGCCAGAAGATAATTTTAACTAACTGGAAATGTATTCATAAATACTGATGTATTAAGAAGTAATTCTTGTAGAAGTACTGCATAAAAAATACTGTGACCAAATATTTTATCGCTATAAATTATATTAAAAATTTCTTTTGGACGCATCTACGAAAAAACACAAAGAATTTACAATACGAATTAAATTTCATTCTGTTTTAAATTCTAAACTACCGGTTTATCAATTACTGTTTCTTCTTGACCAAAAACTCCAATAGTGACCTTAAAAAGAAAAAGAAGAAAAGAGATTAATTTATCAAATTCAAGTACATAAAATACGAACAATTTTTCCCCGTACGAGTAAATTGGTAACTGATGGTGCCAAACTATCAACCATTTTATGTAAAAGACTAGATGCAAAACGAATAACAGCCCTAAAAATTGACAAAAAAACTTCGTTTTTTCATGCTTTAAAAAAATATTTAAAAATACCAATTTTGACATGTTGTTGCTTCTTTCATTAAAGATTCAAGATGATTTCTAACACGATAATTCTCTCTTATCATCAAATCAATTCCACCGCGTCGATATAATTCATATGTAGCTAATGTGTGTTTCTTTAATGAACCTGTTCCGACATCTGTGTTACAAATAAAAGCGCGTAGTTCTATTTCATGTTGATCTTTAAATTTCTGTAAAATCAAACAGTAAAATCAGTAAAAAGAATTAATTTATACATACATGATTATTATAATCAATATCATCACTGAGAATAACTGATTTTGTTACGTCTGTTAAAGATTTATATTGGCCACTATCATGTCCACTTTTATGTTCAGTTACAGCAACGGCTTCCCATTCAACAGGTGAACATAAAGAGTTATTTAAAAAATCAAGATGCGCTATGCAAGCACTTGATATTGCTGTCTAGAAAACAAAATTTACTTATTGAAACTAATTGTAATTATTGTTCAGTTACTTGTAAACGTTCGAGCCGTACACATATGGTTGATGAAAGTTTTCCTTGGCGAATTTGAGTCAATAATTCTAAGACATCTGATTTTTGTGGTCCTCTTAGAGAAAGTAAGTTCGTTTTATAGCAGAAAAAAGAAAGCTAGAATATTCATGCCGAAGATGACCTTCACGTAACATGATTAAATAAATTGGTCGACCTTTAAGACGCCAACATTTTCTAATAAATTCCAAATCACTCTACAAAAATTGAATTTTTTTTATAATTTTTATTTGAGTACTTTTTTTGTTATTTACATTATAAATCTAACCGAAAAAAATTATCCGACGATCTTATAATGCAGCAGATACGGGCTATTGCTTATTACTAAAATTTTCTTTTCACTAGAAATGTTTTGCTGAAATTTTTCATATATATTAAACATCAAACTTCTGATGAACATTTTTTAATGTGATAAAAATAAAAGCCAAAGAGAAAGACTTTTAGATTTTATTGAATGTTTTAGAATATTTTTCAGTTTATAATTTAAATGATTACAATAGGTAAAAAATGAATCTAAAAGCTTCAAGCTAAAGGAGACATGTAGTTTCATTTTCGGTTATCAGATTTGATGTCACGAAGAGTATCTATAAACATACAAACGGAAAGATTCAACAAAGTCAATAATCGACGTTTTATTTCGAAGTTCTAACTAATTTTTCAATTCTATTGTAAAACTTTCATTAAAATTATTCCTACTCGAATATCATCCAACAATAAAGTCATATCACTTGACATATAAAAATCTGTTGTTTCAAATGTTAATGGATAACATAAAACAGTTTTTGAAGCTATCCGATAAACCTAAAAAAATCGAAGATCCATTGATATATCAAAAAACAAAAAAATAAATTATTATTCTTACTTTACATGTGCCAAGTACACCAATAGGTCGTTTAGGACGTCCACTAAAACCAAACTTTTCATTCATGCCTAAATGTGCGTATGTCTAAAAATTCAAATAAAATATTTAAACGTCGAAAAAGAGTAAAGTCATACTTTAACTAATTCTGCTGGTGGCCATATTAAAATTGGTTCGATTTGTTTTGGTATTTGAGTTTGAATCCCATAGGTTGCTAATACTTGTTGCAAACGAACCGATTCCGATATAGCAACAACATGAATGACTAAGTCAGAAAAAGTAACCTATGTTGAAAATAAAATATATTATTTAGTTTTAGCAGAATTGTAGTTTTACATTTGATAGTATTGTTCTGGTTATTGCTTTTTTTGTATCATATGATTGAGTTGTTATTAATTTAGGTATACTAGGTGAATATTGATAACGTGATGCATCCTATTTATAATGAAAATTGAATAAAATAAAATGCTTATATGAATATTGCCTGATTAAAATGCCATCGACAAGACAGATTATACGGTAAAAGGGATGGTTATACTGTAGTTCTATTTGTTCTGAGAGAGACTTGTTAATCATTCTTTTACTGAATCGTCAAGAAAACAGATGCCTATCGTTTCATGTATTGGATATGTGAAACGAGACATGAGAAATATTTACAAAACTATCTAAATGTCAGCATAAAGGTTCTTTTTACAAATCAATAAAAGTCTCTCCGCGTACTTCATGAGTTCTGCTAGATCGTATTGTATAATATATTCGGAAAGATATTTACTTGTATAGATGAATATCTTGAGTTTAGTTTTGGCCGGTCACATGGTGGTAGATAACGCCGTATAGGATTGAGATCGCTAACAGTTAAAAGTTTATCAACTAGACGCAAAAGGAAAAATAATAATGAGAGAGAGAGATAAAAAATATTTTACCAAGTAATTGACATATAATCCAAACAGCTTGACCAAAAAGAAAAACATTTCCATCTAAAACTTCTCCACTCGATACGAATTGTGATTGTTGATTATTACTACGTTCACTGGATTCACTGTTTCCACTACTTTGTTGTTGTGAATGATCAATATAATAATAATGAACCATAATTTCACCTTCAAACAAATAAGAAAATAATGTAAAAAGATAGATAGATATTTTCATGTATTACGATGAAGTTAGTTTTCAAATGTTATCAAACTATATTAAACTGCTAAACGAAGGAAATTCATGCGATATTATTCGAAAGACATAATCAAATGATATTACATTGCTACCTTTGACAAGGATGGCATTCAAACATGGCGTGATTAATGCAGCTTTTTTGTTCGCTAATACAATAGAAAAGTTTTGATGATAAAGTGATCAACCGCAAGGAATAGGGATGAACAATATGTGCATACGTGGTTTCAATGGCTCGCATTCTGTATTAGCTGAAGTTGAACTCATACGACCACGTACTATGAGATGAAACAGATTTGTTTTTAAAATCATTCTTAGATGCAATTTATTTTTATTCTACCTTCCACTGTTCGACGTAAAAGAGGATTTAATACATTCAGATATTCATCAACTTGAGCTTGATTATTTTTGAAGATACCTAAATGGTAATAGAATATTCACAATATTATATTTGATTATCTTTGGAAAAAAGAAAGTTCTTTTATCCTTATTATTAATAATCATCAAAAACGTTTTACATTATAACAATTGCAATATGGTAAAGAAAACAAGAATCTTGCATATTTCATTTTATTTCTGACTAGTTTTAAATAATTCTGGTCACAATAGGGAGGTAACAACTTGGAAGTAGAAAACTTAGCAGCACGTCTCATTGATTGTGGTCGAGTTTTCAGATTTCCTATGAAATGCCATAATACCAGTAACATTTCGTGCCATTTATGAAATCGTTCTTTTTCATTATATTTATAGTGCAGCCAGTAACGCGAGACCAAAGGTATGTTTCTCAAAATAGATTAAATAAATTAATTCTAATATGATAAGCAAAATCACGAGATCAAATCTTCTCTTTTAATTCTACCATAAATGAAGTGATAACTTTTAAAGAATTGTCATGAAAAATTTGTCTATCTTGCTAAATATTACCTCTGAATCCATGGATTTTGTTTAAATAGATTATTTTTCTTACCATCGATTGCCATCACCGCAAAAAACATTGGCTATTCACATTCATTTTTATCGAATTTCTGAAATAAAAATACTAATATAAATAATTAAAATTTTGCGTTCACACGCCAACGTTAGTTTCTGTCGCTTGATAAAATCGTTCGTCTTTGAACTCTAAATCTGTATATTGACCATCACGTAAAAATCGTTTAAAATCATGTGTACCACGTAATTTTCTTAAACATTTATTTACTGTATTTTCTACAAGTGCTTCGTTATGTACAGCAAATGTTGGTCAACCGACTGTCAATAATAATGCAGCATCAGTATTCTATAGAAACATTGATAAATATAATATTTATGTTTTATTGCTAGAAAAGTTTTACTTTTGATGCTGATTCACGCGGAAGAAGTGTATCGAATGTTGTTCGATTTCTATTATGAGCATCCTAGAATTGTATTTTTATAAAGATAAATATATAATAAATATTGATTACGATCTTGATTCATATCACGTCAACATACACAACAGACCAATTAGATCCCTGATCCCCATATAAATTAAAACCATTCATAGATTCAAGTGCTGCTTTAGCCATACCAATTGAACTAAAATATTAATTAGCACAAAGAAGTGATCCTACTTTTAACTATCATTCGAAACTACTTGTAATCATCAATTTAGAGATTAGCAATGTTACTATTAATGTTGAAATACAGATGATTTATCACTGAAATATGGTCTATATTTTTTAGTACATTGCTTTACAACTTCAATGAATACTTGTATCTGTGTTAGTGTGCACTAACAAAACTGTGTTGGTAGGCGGTTAAAGAGAAACTCAACATCGATAAGTTTTTTTGTATACTAATAATAATCAAATTTGTCCAATACTGATTTTTTTTCCTCAATGAAATATAGTTACTATTTCAGATCGACAAACAATTTATACCTAGACTCTACGTCATTCTTCACTATTAATTAGAGTCCATTCATAAATTGTTTTAACTAAAAACTAATTTTTCTACTCATGACAATAAAGCATTGAATATGGATGAGGATTTGTATGTATCTTGTCGAAGTATCTTAGAGGCAAAAATAAGAAACAATAGATATATCTCAAAAAGAAAAATAAGTACATGCACTTTCTTCAATATATATTTTTTACCTAGCATGAAGTTCACATGTATTTGTATTATATTTAGTTCCTCTTTCCCATATGCCATAATCGGGTGTACGATAAGCACGTTCAATGGAAAAAATCAGTTGCTAAACAAAGTTAACTTCATCCACAGAAAAAATAATCTTAATAAACAAAAAACAGAATAGAAATCGTTAATTTATAAGTTTTTGTTCATGTATTCTGTTTTTTGTATACTTGAAGATTTGATGTTATCATTTGTACGATCGTCAGTAAATAAATAGAAACAGCACAAATTTGTAATTTGCCAACTTCATCTGCTCCTTCGATTTCACTACCATCGAAAACACTGAATTTTGAATGTAAGGCATCCATTGATGATTGTTCACTTTTAAATATTTCAACCTAAATGTAGATTAACAACAAACATCAATTGATTTCTTGAACAAATAAAATCCTATTGTTCTGTACGTACGTTTTCCACGCATGCATTTAACAGCTGCTTGACCTAATTCATGTGTTCGTCCTTGATCATTATCAATTTTACAATAGCATCGTCGTAATGACCATACGGCAATAGCACAAAAGATATTTTCCACAACATGTGCGACTTTTTTATCGGTATCAAGATGAGTAGGAAAAAGACCAGTTGTTAAACTTTGAAAAGCTAGAATTTGGCGTTTTACTTTACGATAATAAATATCTAGTTTTTTCAATATTAATGTATGTGAATCGGAATAGTATTCTGCCTCATCACCAACATTCCAAACATTCTATAAGATGAAACATGGATCAATAATTGATAGACGTATATAGCTGTATTTCTTACTTTAGAATCAGACCATGACGAACGACGACTACGATTGAAACCTGAAGTATTACTTGGAGGTGTAGGAACGCCAGCAATATTTAATGAAGCCATCGATGCTAGTTATAAATTCGTTGATGTATTTTCATTTCTTATATACGTACATAAAAACAATTATATATCTATAATTTATTGGAAAATAATATAACAAACATATTTAATTCTAACAATCTAACATGTTGAAAATTTTCAACATTCTCTATTTTCTCTAGTAGTGTGCTATTAATCTAGTAAAATCTATTTTCAATTGAAGCATTTCTAGTTTTCCAAAAGGATCTGTATGAATGAATTCAATGGCCCTCATTTTCTTTTGTGATTGTGCCCTTACTTTTTATCTCTTAAGTATACTCAAGCCGGTCTTGAATGCTAAAACCTTTGTTTCAAGAGTTCATGTTAATCAGCACATACGAATTATTTCATGTTTAAAATAACTAATGAGATAACTGTTGATCTAATAAGTCACATTGAAGTCAAGACTAGATATTTTATATGCTCAAAGTTACTATCCACGATTTGAACAGAGATCTTGTTTATAGTTCATTTCCATGGACTCTATAAATGATTTTAGTGCTTTTTAGTAAATGTCATCTTTTATCATTAGAAATACTAGAAGAACTAGTTTTCAAATTTGAACTTAAACTTTTGCATCGAAACAAACTTTTCCTATATTATTTTCTTGTGTTACTTTCAAATCTTTCCATGTCCTTTTCAATGCTAAGACAGTATAGCAGGAATGGAGTCGATTCAGTTGTTAAAAAATACTAGAAATCGATCTCGTCTCTATATTATTGAGACTATAGTTATTCAAGCATGCTGACACTCACAAGGATAAAAAAACGATAAGTGATAAAAGTCAATTGAAACATAAGTTGATAATATTCAGTTTTTCTATAGAATTAAAAATAATAAAAAATATCTAGAACAAAGTTGATTTATTCACACAATAGAGTAAAAAAATTGAGCATCTTTTATTAGCAAAACTAGAGAGTAAAATATAGCACATGCAAACAAAAATTCAATAAAAGCCAACATCATTATCGATCATTATTCGTTGAGTATTGTATTAATCAGAATCAGAATCAACTGCAGCACGTCGTCGATCGAACTAAATTGATATAAACGAATTAATATACACCTAACATTAAATGAATTTTGAAATGAAAATCAAATCATAGATAATCAATCTTAGTTTTCTTCAGATAACTATTGCAAGTCTATTGTTTCAAAGAGTCTTTTTATTCGACTGTTGAAAACGAATGCGGTTGTTTTTTTTGACAAGTATGATAAAATAAAGTATATAATCTTACATTAACTTTGGTTTTTTTCTGTTGCTTTGCTCACTTGCTCTAAAATTCCAATCAATTGTTCGTCAGACACCTTAAATAATTTCATATTAATCGATCATATTAGTTTTTCCGTTAATTGTTTTAACTTTTCTACCACCAATTGCACCACGTCGAGCATTTTGTATAAGAATATCTTCAATCATACGGCCTTTCTCTGGCTTAGTTAAAGCAATCATATTCAATCGAGCGCGTGCTTCTTGTGTTAGCAATGAACTTAACATTGTATTACGTATATCTTCTTGTTGCTGTTGTTTTTCTTCAGGTGAACTTTGGATATTTTTGTTACTGCCAGCCTGTTGTTGTTGTTGTTGTTGCAATTCAACTAAACGTTTAGCACGAATAGCATCAAGTTCAGAATCAGTCATGATCTGAAAATAACATTAAATATGGCAAAAGAATCAATAGACACTTTTCATTCATTGGAACAGTATTAATATTAGAAGAAGAAAAACGCACACCAATACGAGACATGAAAGAAACATAGTTTGTTGTTCTTGATCTGGTTCTTTTCTTGGTATCTTTTCAATTCTAGTAGACTAAGAAGTAAAGCAAAGCAATAACAGTTACGTAATTTTCTTCATAGGAATGTTATTCAATTTGATTTCAATACATTTAACAATAGGTAATACTTCATCGTAATAAAGTAACTTTAACATTGAAGCTCTATCTGATTACGAGAAACATAATGGTAGTCCATTTTCGTGTTGATAAAACTCATCGTCTAGTTTATTAATGATATTATATGTAGATATTGATGTCTTTCTGTCCCACAATTTAATCTATTCACTAACCTGTCTTAATTACTGATCAAAACATCAATATGCAGAAGTAATTTTCAAATGGATTATCCAATGTTGTAGATTTATACTAAACTTTAAACTTTTATATTCACTATTTTAATATAGTTCTTCATTCATCCATGTAGCTATTCTGTATTTTTCAAACCAAATATTTTCAGGATTGGTTAGTTGATTTTATTAAATCATTAAAACTGATAGGTGATCATTGTTGTAAATGACAATTTGATATTGTAATCTACATCGAATGATTTTTTCCAATATCATCACACTTCAACTTGATTGTCAACTTATTAGATTTTGAAATTAGATTTGATCGCGTTGGTTCATTATCCATGTTAGGATCAATGACAATTATAAATAATGTCCGTAAATTATCAGATGTTATTTACAGATTTTAATATCGATATTTTATTTAGCTACTAAAGTAAAAAGTAACTCAATGAATAGGAAAATATCTCTAGGTAAAGGCTTACAGTAAAATTTCATAACGTCGAGCAGTTTCACGTGAAACAGTAGATATCATCGCTTTTCTAAATGATGACATTAACTAAGCCATATGTAATTATCTTTCATTTTCATGACATGATCCATCGGATTCTTTTTCTAATTATAAAATCTAGTTGGTTTTAGATGCATTAAAGAAGCTATTTGAGATTACTGATTTTGGTCACATTTGATTATTACGACATTGAAAACTTCGTGTAACAGATTGAAATCTTATTACATAAAATATCTATCATTATATTTAGCTAAACATAACCTTCGATTGTCATGTATACCATTATTATAGTGAGGATATTGAGAAGAAAATCCGATAATCTGTAGATGGAAAACAAAAATAAGAAAAGCGTTATGTGTAGAAAATATCATCAGTTAGTTGTAACATCATACAGAAGAAGAAGAAGAAGAAGAAGAAGAAGATGCTAAATGCTTGCATGCAAATTTTTCTAAGATATTAGTGGTATTTAGCATAACCTAGTGACTTGATGTTCTAGAGAGGACGCTAGATATCAAGCTACGTAAGAATAATGTTTAGACTTTCTATGATCCCTTGATATTCAGGGCTTGTTATTTTTCGACAGAGACTTTCTACTGTCTACATTATATATCTGCTTAGTCAAACGGTACTATTCAAGTAAATAGAATCGTTTTATGTTAATTTAAAAACCAGGCACCGGAAAGACTGACAGAAAGCTTGCACAATGTCGAAACGTTTAAGAAAACACACGACGTAATGAATATCATCAATGAATTTGCATTATCTTAATAATGCACACAAGTCTATATATACTTTTGAAATTTCATGGTTAATTTTAAAGGCAATAATATGAATTTCAGAGCTCTTTTATTTTTCTCGATTTACATGTAGACAACAAAAAAAAATGATGGAAAATATCAATCATAACGAGACTATGCTTTTAAGATTTGCATCCAATATGAAAAAAGTAACCAAACGTCTATATATTTACTCAAAGAAAACTGATTTTCACGTGGAACGTCGCTTTGACAATGATACTAAAGAACGAATTGATCTTGTACTAGTAAAGATGAATAATTATCAATCGAATAGTATAAAACATTACAAAAACCTCTTGTAGCGGTTCAAAAGCAAAAAACATTTTAAGCGAAATTATCTTCTTTTTTATTTTAAATGTCGTTTCAGATACTTTATAAGAAACTATAAGCACATTTTTCTAGAAGTTCATATGATCTATTTGCACCAAGTAATTTTTCTAGTGAGCAGAAAATAAGAACAAAATTACATTAATACATAGCGAAATCATTTAGAGCTATCAATCAATCTAAATATTGCATTGTACTTGGAAACATGTTTCTTATCGGTTATGTAAAATAGAATCATTAATTATTGACGTGTCTGTGAATTATTTCTGTGATAAAACTTTGTATACCGTACTCTTTATACTATGTACATCTATTTCTTTACCGTCTCTAATGTCTTACATTGCAATTTGCAATTACTAAGTAAAATAAAAGTTGTGTCTATCATAATTTAACAAGAATTTTTCTTAACAGTAAGTATCTCAAGGGAGTTTTACCGACATTTATCGCTGAATTTTCGAACTTTTATTTGTTAATCAATAAAATAGAATTGTATTAGTCAAAATAATAATTCTTACAATATTCTTCTTATGCAAGTGTTTATCAACACAAAACAAAAAATAAGATCTGCAAATGGCAAATATTTTTCTTCAGGCATACAAGTGTTGTCACACCCGAGAAAAAAAACTATTTCTTTTTTTCTTTATTTATTTAGGAACACTATGTGTATGGACTGATGCTCGTTTGTTGCAATTGACAACGGCAGCGGTCGTACCATCATGCGATTCTCATGAGATATGGGAAACAAAAGTCGTTGAGCTCTTTGCTTTTTCTATATTTTGTTCGTGAATACTATATGCATTCTATAGCGTCACATCAATAGCAGAGAACAGTAACTATAGTTAACATTGAAATGCATAAAGAACTATTGAATGACATTAGCTAGTTCTTGTTCAACGGCACAAACACACACACACACACACATATATATATATATATATATAGACAAAGGATCGACGGAAAAGCAGAAAAAGAAGGCGAAATTAGTTGAGAAATCGAGAAAAGAAAAAAGAAAGAAAAAAACAGAAAGAGCATCTTACAGAAATCATTATCGACGATATCAAGTGTATAGAAGCAAAAATAGAAATAGCATGATCAGATATCATAACGACAGTAGTGATGACTTTAATCATACGAATATATTTGTTGCAAACTAATATTTAATCATTCAATAAAATTTTTGATCATGCTATTAATTGTTCTAATCATTATTTTTGTATATTTTCCCAACGATATTTATTCTTTATCTTGTTTCAAATGTATGACAACGAATTACGAAAATGATACATGTTCGGATCCATTTAATCCGATTGACAATCGTCTTGAAAACGAATGTTTAGCAACATCAAAGGGTAAGAACGGTTTATTTCCTGCTCGGTTTTGTGTTAAAATATCCGGTACTATTGTTGATGTCGATCGCAATGTTAATCGTTCATTATTACATAAAAGTCTTTATCTACGAACGTGTATCATAGATAATATTATGGACTCAACGAGATCATCGGATTCAACTGGAAATTTTCGTTTGAAAAATTTCAATCAAATCAAAGGTGTACGAATGCAGGGTACAATAACATTATGTTCACATGATGGTTGTAATCAAACAAATTTACTGACAATGAATTCAATAACAATTGTATTTTTTGTGTTTCTTTGTCTAGTCTATCAGTTTGAATAAATAATTCGGTCAGATAAAATACGAACCAAAAATGTGAACTAGTTTTTCTTCTCCTCAAACAAGAAGAAATAGCAGGGTTTTTATTAAAATATGGTACAGGTGACATAGTGAGGTCCATGATAACGAGAAAAGAAGAAGCTGTTAGTGTATACAAAAATAAAATACGTTTCAAACGATGATAGAGAAAATCACATTGTGCATGCCAATAGAGACCAAAAATTATATATAAATTTCTGCAACGTTGTATCAGCTATTTTATTATTTTCCGAAAAGCTAAGATGTCTTTTTTTTATCATGGCTCCTATTGAATAGACCACGACGAAATATCATATGAGTCTGCATGAATAATATAATACTTTGATATAGATTCGACTTCTTCATCTCAATAATATTCTTGTGAAAATGTTAATTATTTTGATGGATTGAATTCTATACAGTTTCATCCATATATAGAAACTGATCGAGACCACTCCAATATCAAACTACGATGATAGCATAGACTTAATGAGTTTTTTCGAGCTCGAAGCCAATTAATATCAAGAAATGAACAAATCCAAAATAAAATTTCTATTAAACATCGAATAAAACAAGATAATGATTTATATCAACCAGTTATTATTGATGGCACAATAAAGGAGCTTAATCGATCATTAAAACCTGTGTCAACACATGAGAAGAGTTCTTTTGCTCTTATTGGCATATGTCATTTACCATTAACAAGTGAATATAATAAGAAAAATATGCGCTTTCTTTTATGAAGATCCTCCATCATTAATATTTTCCTTTCGATTTTTGACTGTATAATTGGAGAATTTTTCTTCTTGATAATTAAATATCAATATTTCTCACAGTGTCATGCGATTTATTTCTTAATAAATGCGTATTAGATTTTTGGATACAGCTTCATGAACAATTATAATATTTAGTTTTATTTATCTATCTACTAAAATCTTTATCAAGATATTTTATATCAAACCAACTGTTGATTCTAGTCATTTCTGATTCATTATCTACCTAAGGAAATAAACAAACATCATGACTTCCTATTTATTCAGCCGGAAATTAATGTATTTCTTATAGTTTACAACCTAATTCAACAGTTATTAATAGGTTGAATATTTTTACCATACAAAAACTCGAGATTCTGATCGGTTTTTAGATTTAAGGTTTAGATTGAATTTCTAGTGGTTGTACTATGATTACAGAAGAAATTTCGATTTTTATGTAGTATCTCTTCTATAATGGTTACGTTTTCTGTCCACGAAATAATTCATCGATCACATATTTGAACTAATAGAAATATAGAAGGTTGATTATAAATAAGTACAGCTAGTTTCCTACATGTAGGTGTGGGTACACATTTTTCTGTTTTCTTCTCTATTTTCGACCTATAGATGGAGCAAACATGAATCTATTCTACTGATTGGACTGATCCTTGCTTCTCTGCCTTCAGGATTAGTTTTTTCTTTTTGCGGAATGACTCACTCGGTATGACTGGGCCATTCATTTATTCACTTTTTTTTTATTCTCTTTTGTCTTTCACTTAGACTCAGATCGATTGATATGACATCTAAAAACCCTGCTGGTGCCAACAAAGGCAGTGTTGCTGATGATCATTTTGCTCTTGAAGTTGATATTGAAAATCGATGTTATAATATATTTGATCTTAATATAAAATGTTCTACTGATGCATTAAAAACCTTTCATCGATGTTCCGAATCTATTCTTGAACGTGATCCAGAATTATACAATATTTGGATTGATGCTCATCGATTTTATTCATATGCTATTATTGAAGTTATTGAAAATGAATTAAATACATTACATCATAAATGTATCTATAGTAATCTTAAGCCATTACAAGGTTTTCGATGGCTTGAAGGTTTACTACTTGTCATAGGAAGCTATTCAAAATATTTAGAAGAACTAAATGATAATGATCATCTAGATGCTCTATTGAATTTATTCTATTCTGCTTGGATCACATTTTTTATTCATAATCGTTATGCAATATTGAATCTTAGTTATCCATCACCACCACCTGATGCTAATAATAATAATAATGATTGTATAGTTGTCGACAATCCTGAAAAAAAAGTAACTATTTCTATATGAAATCTCATCTATTTTTGAATCGTTGATCTACAAACGGAAAATATCCATTGGATCATATTCGATATAACTCGATATGAATTCATGTTCTTTATTAAGTGGTGTTCTAAATTACTTAATTCAGAAAAATGAGAATATGATTGTTGTTATTTTTTTATGTTTTTTTTGTTATTCAGGTATCAAATGTCAATGTACATAAAACAGATGAACAAATAGTACGTCATCTTGATAAACATTTACCTAATTTTGATCAAATACTTAATGAAGCTATTGAAGTTGGCCATCAATTATCATCAAAACGATTGCCAAATCTTGAAAAATTCGAAGAATTTTATCAATTATGGAAAAATCCTACTGCTTGTCATAGACGTAAATCATCTGCTGATTTTAGTTTAATTATTGAACGTATAACAAGTGATATAGACCTAACATCTAGTTCGGATGAAACGAATTTTTCACAAAAAAAATCCATCAATTGGAAAATGGTTTTTTATGATGAATTTATTCGTTATGCTGATCGATTTTATTTAACGAAAAAAAACCCCAGTAAACGGCGCACAATCGGTGGCGAACGATTTTCTATAAATAAATGGTCATCAAATAAAACAAATTATTTTCTAACTAAAAATATACTCAAAAGAAATTCGAATAACGAATATGAAAAGCAAATAGAGCAATTATATCAATAGAAAGTGACCGTTACTTTTCCGATTTTTTTCACAGATACTGCTTTGTATATTTAGTTTTTTTTGTTGTTGTAGTCTTCTGCCAGATGATGTTGTCATTGCTGATTTCTTCTTTTTTCTTCTTGAAATAGTATTATCTTATATAAAAATAAACAGGAGAGATTATTGCATTTTGTTTTTATTTATATTTATTCAACTTTTGAAAGACATCAGTGACGATTGCATTTCATGAATAGATATCAGTTACCTGTCTATCTAACATTAAAAACCTATTAAAATTTTCTTTGACTTTTATTCCAACTATAATCTAATGGTTACACTTGTTGAGTATAGACAAAACTAAAGTGAATATTGATTTGTATTCTGATGATTTTATATTCACGAGATACTAGTTTCATCAGTCTGTGCTTCCGCTTATCAGTAGACTTGGATACATGGATATTTTATTTTGTTAATACTTTTATTTTTGTAGATGAATTTCACATGTGAATTACGTTTTCCATTGTCAACAGCACGTCATGCTCAAATCATCTACAATACGATACGCATCGATAAAGAACCAAAGAAAACAGTTGAACGTATTGAAACATTAGATGGTAATGTTCTCAATGTTCGATTTGAAGCTCATGAAGCAAAATTTATTCGTGTAGCTGTTGAAAGTTATATTGAAAAAGTTAATTTGATACTTCGTACGATTCAACGTTTTGATCCAAAACGTTAACATTCATTTTTTTTTGTTGTTGCTGTTAATGTACTTGTATTCTAGATGCAAAAATTAGTGATATTTCTTCTTTTTTCTCTATCGTATTGTTATAATTATGAAGATTTTACTCGAATTAATCATGAACAACCGCTAAATGAATATACTCAATCATCTTCATTGAATGTTATTGTTTTCGGTGAATAAAAGAAATTTCTTTAAAAAAAAGTCTGAATCATTCTTTTGCTTTAGTTGATAAACAACAGTGCAATAGTGAAAGCGATGATACATGTCGTCAGCAACGTAGTCAATTGGAGCAAATTCGACATTTATGTACAAGTGCAAATATTCAATTTGCTATTTCAACTAATATAACAATTGCAGAAAAATATTTCAATATTTATGGGTCACTCCCCAAACTGTGCTTTTTAAGAAATGGTTTTCCAGTTGTCTATTCCGGTATTTATTTAACAGGCATCATTTGTATCTATTTGAAAAAAATTATATCAACAAAGACTCGACCAAGTTCGAGATAAGACCATAGTACTATGTTGAAGTATGTAGAGTAAAAACGGTTGATGAAAAATAAATTAGCAATGTCAATTCCTTCTGGAGTCATATTATTATGACTCAACGTCTTGTTCTAATGTATAGACTACTTCTTAATTTTTATTGTTGAAAGTTTTGTAGCATGATGTAAGAACAGTATTTTCCTGTGATCCGCGTATTAAGTTATAGTGGTTCAAGAACGTTTTCAAACACTTTTTCTATTGATTTTAGGTTCACTTTCGAATATGGATAGTCTACAAGAATGGCTTAGTGAAGCACGTGAACGATTGACACATGTTTTAGATGATAAATCATTTGAACATGATACACAAGCATCAACTGGTTCGACTACAGGCGATTGGTTTATTCTCTTGTATGTAAAAACTATTGTTTTTACAAGAATTTAACAATTCATTTTATTTCAGTAAGAAAACAAATGATTCACGTAGTTTACTTCCCATATGGGAAGCTGCAGCTCTTCAGTAACTATTCGATTAATTAGATTTTTATTATTCTGAACTGCTTTGATTTTTACAAGGTTTCGAAATCGAGCAATATTTGCTTATGTTAATGTAGATACGAATCCAATTATACAGAAACGTTTTCATCTATTTTATTTACCTATTTTTATACTGTAAGTGTGAAATGAATTTTAAGAACAAAAATTTCGATCATGCTTTTTTTTTAATATTAGATTTAAACAAGGAAAAATGTATCGTTATGAAAGTGCATCATGGAAACAAATATCATTTATTGAATTTATTGAAAATGACTACAAAAAAGTAAAAGCTGAAAATGTTCCGGCTGAACTGAGTGCTTTGTAAGTCTATCTTATAGAATTCTATTTTTTTTTAACATAAATTGATTTTCTCTAGTGCATTGTTTTCTGAAAAGGCTGCTAAAGTTATTCCAGTAATTATAGTCAGAAATATTCTTTTATCATTGTTAGTATTTTTCTCTATAGATGTATTTGATAGTAATGCCGATGATTTGTCTTGCTGCTGTTCTTCTCGTTCTCGTAAGCGGTTTAGCAAGAAAAAAGAAAACAACAACTGAACGAACACCATTCCAAGTTAAAATCGATTAATTAAAATAAAAATTATTGTTCTATTTTGAAAATTTTCAAAAAATATTCAAGAATCTCCACCTATTTCATGACTAGTATATTCTAATTTATAGTAATATTTTACTATCGAATTCTTCTTTTTTTTCGACTGTTGAATTTGAAAATCATGAATTCAAGTATAGTGAAGCAATGGGAAAATGTACTATCAATAGTTTTGTTTTGTTCTTTCAATAAAGTCATTTTAAATAAGCTTATAATTACATTATCTACCAGGGTTATTTAAGATCGTACAATGTTTTCATATATATAAATACACATGTGTTAATATGAATTCTGTTCATATAATAATCTTGACCTTTAAAAAAGATATGAAATTCATGCAATCAATTTGGAAGTGATTGAAATTCCACGAATACAGCAAATGATTCTGCACTGCTCGCAAATAACATAGTGGAACTATTCGTAATTAAATAACAAGTGTTTGATTTCTAAAGAAAATATTGATAGATAAGGATGTGGGTGTGTATGTGTCAATCAGTTAGATCAAGACAGTGACAAGAAAACAAAAGCGACTGAGATCAATTAATTATAAGAATTAACTATATTGATTAACAACTGTAATTGTTTTTTCTCACTATCTATTATGTTTCAGATAAAAGCAGATGGTCATGTTGATAATAAAATATAATACAGAACTAAGAACACCCACACTCATAATTAATGGTTTAGATCAGATATTAAAATCATCTAAGAAATGTTGATTAAGACTTCGAAACTTTATCTGTCACTACAAAGAATATCAAAAATTAAACTGTGATAGAATAAATTCGACTATGAATATTGTCTAGTCTAAACAATTTGTATAGCTATTTATATTTATCTTTGTTCAGTGATCAAATATCAAAAACAGTTTTGTTTTTGACAAACACATACTAACGTTTGAGTACTTTAAAATGAATGATTATGAAGAAATTATTTTTAATATGTTTAGTGATACTCTGCAATACAACAATACAATCTATTTTACAGGTACTACTTCTTTAACAATCAATAATATCTATGCAGAATATCATCGGTCTTGTGCAGTAAGTTGCTCGTGTATAACAGAACTCGTCCTAATAAACGAATTGTATCAACGTATGACCTATGAAAGACAAATAGAAACAGTGGACTATAAATTATGTATTTTATTCCTTATTCTATAGACGAAGATTATAATGATTGTTAAAAAAAATCTTTTTTTGCTACACACCTAGCGAATGCTATTGTACATGTGCAACTTAATACTCTAGTTTCAATTACACCACCATTGAAAACAAAAAATGCATTCACGTGTATATTTTGTTTTTCTTGGAAAAAAGTTGTAAGAAATGAAATGAAAAGTTCAAAAGTACTGATTTTGTATAAAAAAGACTATTGCATTTGAAAGAATAAATAAGAATTTTTTTGCTGATGCAAAAAAGAGAAAAACAAAAATACTATTCTCATTTCTTTCGAAACTTATTCTTTTTGCAAGAATTGACACAAAAGAAGTTTTTCTTTTCGCTGATGCTGTTGACGATAGTGAATAGATTGTTTTCATCATTCAAGTACTTGGACAAATAAAGGCAAAGTCTGTTAGATACATAAAAAGCAGTATGATGCAAACAAGAAAGATGCCATCAAATACATCGCAAAATTCGTGTGTGCTTATTGAACAGAGCCAGTCGAATGACTGTCATATAGTATGGCTTGATAAAAATATGAATAAACATGATAATCAACGAACATTAAAAAAATTAATTGAACTTGACCCGAACATAGAATCGTTTACATCTACAGAAGGTTTTATCACTTATATTCGAAAACAAAATGCTGAACACACAACGCTTCACATTATATTTATTGTATCGCGCTCTCTTATTGGAGAAATAATATCGGTTGTAGAAAACTACAGATCTATTATTGGAATTTTTATTTTTTGTAAAAGCCTTGAAAATTTGGAGCATTTTCAATGTGATAAAATTCAAGAAATCTGTACAGATGGCGACGAATTGATGAACTCTATTGATATGTTTCTATTAAGATATCATACAACAACAGATTTCAGTATATTGCCCGATCAAATTGGAACTCATTCAGGTAAGCAAATATTATGAATATTATATGTAATGAGAACTACTGATTAAATATAATTTTTTTTCATATCGCCTAGACTCACTATCATCAGATTATGTAATCAACAATCCAGAGCCAATTTTAACCTTAAAAGAAGATCAAGCAAGATTTCTGTGGTTCAATCGAATGCATCAGTTTATGGTTACACTAGAAAATGAAGACGATGAAATCGCTAAACAAGAAATGATCCGACTAAGTCGTCAACAATTTAAAGGAAAAAGTTACCTATTATCTAAAATAGACGAATTCAATAGTCAACTATTGATTGAAGATAAAGAAAGAGCTATTTTTTCTTATACCGAAAATTCATTTATCTATCAATGCGTTAATACAGCCTTAAGAAAAGAAAATGTGTCACAAGTTTATTCCTATCGTTATATTATCAAGTTAATTTGTCGTCAGTTGAAAGAGCAACATGTGAAATTTGTTGAAAAGTATAATAAAAAGCAAAAGTCAAGATTTCTTCGTCTCTATCGGGGTCAATGCTTGAAATTTGGAGATCTTCAACGACTGACAGCAAATATCAAGAATCTAATATCTCTTAATGGATTCATATCAACCACAACGAACAAAGATGTTGCACTAGTATTTCTTGAACAAAATCTTCAGAAAGATATGGAACGAGTTCTGATGAGAATCAGTATTGATATGACAATTGAGCATTCTGTAGCATTTGCTGATATTAGGAATTTCAGTAAATATCGATCTGAAAAAGAAGTTCTTCTTTCTATTGGATCTATATTTCGTGTCGAATCGGTAGACTTTGACGATGAATTAGAAGTATATGTAGTTCATCTTTCATTAATTCCTAGTGATTCATTGACAGTTATTAAATATCTTGAACAAACATATGCGAGTAACGTTGATTTAGAAGATCAATCGGTTCTCTTTGGAAAACTACTTTTTGAAATGGGAGAATATGAGTCAGCTGTTCAATATTTCTTAGATGGACTTGATCGTATAGACGACGATAATATTAGAATTCGAGCAGCTTATTTAAATAATATTGGCGTATGTTATAATCAACTGCAAAAGCAAGAACTGGCATTAGATCATTATACAGAAGCACTTCAAATGTATGAAAGAACAAATAATATTCGTGGCTTGGGTGCGTGTCAACACAATGTAATTTATTTCTTTTGGGAGTTATCTTTTTTTGCATTATCTAATTTATTCTTGTTATAGATAGCAAGTATTTATAGAAGTCAAAAAGACTATTCGAGAGCCGAACAATGGGCACTGAAAGCGTTCCGTAATCGGCCAAATAAAGTAGATAAAGCCTCAACTGTTGATCTTCTTGGTTGTATATATTTAAATTCTAATAATTATGAAGCTGCAGAAGATCATTTTAAACGCGGTCTAAAATTACGTGTAAAATACTTCAAAGAAATCAATCATCATCATCCTGATATAGGTGTAAGCTATCACAATTTGGGTAAAGCAAATGAAAAGCAATTCAAATATAGAGAAGCTCAAGAAAACTGTTCAAAAGCTGCGGAAATCTATGCTCATAATTTTCCATCAACGCATCCATTAGTACTAGAGATTGATGAATATTTAAATCAAATTCAAAAGAATTGTAGACATTAGCTATGTTGTTGTTTTTCTTATTATTTTTTTTTTGTTGTCTTTGATTGACATAAATTTTATCATGTCAATCAAATTGTCTCTGATAAAATGTACTCTGCTAATGAAAATTGATGTTCACAACTTGAATGTTGAATTAGTTACTAATTCAAAAAATAAAAATCGCTTACAAGCATATTTCTATCTTTATTTAAACAACTAATCTTTTACAAAAATGAAAATTAGCTAGCCTATTCACGCATCTATTTTAAAGCAAATACTTGAAAAAAAATACCAAAAAAATATTTATCGTGTAATGTCAGATTTTCATTCTGCTCCAAAAATCAACTGTTTTTCTTTTAATCTTTCAATTTGAAACCTTTTCAGTTGAAATCACTTACGAGAAAGTATGTTTACAACGCTCATTTTCGACGTTTTTTATGTAAATCTTTTTATTATCGTTCGAAGTCTTGTTTTCTTTGATTTAAACTGTTTTCTATGCCTCTGATATTACATTTTATTGCATCAAGCAGATTTTCATTTCATGGTTAAATTTAACAATGAAAAAACAACTAACTCATGAAAACTTTCCTAATGAATAGTTAGATCACCCTATCGGGTGAAATGATTGTTATTTAGTTTTATAAGAAAATTAATCAATATTTCAGTGCATATCGAAAAAAATAAAAGTTATTGCAAAAAAATGCGAGTTGAATAACACATTGTGAAGAAAGAAGTAAGTCAAGGAATGTAAAAATATGACTGTAACATCCATTTTTATTAAAAATATTCACTCAGTTTCAGTAGAAACCTTCAAAGTGAACGAATTCGAAAAGCCCTAATGCACTTTGTCCCATCTAAATCATTTGATGTCTTTTTTTCAATATTTTACATGTCCCAGAACATATTTTATGCATGGCAAACATGACTTCTACTGAATGTCACCAAACCGCTATTTAATCTATTATTTTTTCTTGGATGAACTGGATGTACAACACAATGTTCTCTTTGAGATCAAAAGTAGTCGCAGCATATGATTTTATTTTTTGAAAATTTGTAAGATATAAAAATAATAGACTAAGAAACGGTATTCATTTTTCGACATTCAAATAAAAAGTTTTCTTCGTCGCTTTTATTTTCTGTGCGCGTTATCATAAAATGGTTCAATCCAAAAAAGCAAATATTTTTTGGTAAAAATCCATCACATTTTAATTCTCGCATTCGTCGTTGATCATCATTTTCTTGAGCATTGATAACAAACATTCGTCGTTGTAGATCTACATCTGGTTGATCGGCTACAATCAGACACCATTGTTGAGAATCTATGCAACGAGTTAAGTTAAAAAATACATTTAAAAATATTGTATCATACCATAGACGGGTGATATCGATAGTATACTATATTGTTTTGTATCTATTCGAAAGAGACATTTCATCGCACGTAAAATATCACAAACAAGAATCTTATCTGTAAATAAAGTATCAATAGCGACAAGATGATCACTTATTTGAATACGAAATATCTCCATGGCTTCTTTCATATGAGATTCGTCTGGATATAAATCAGATTTCCAGCAACGTTGTAACACTTTACTATTTGAATAATGTTCAATAACATCACCTAATGATGTACCAAGATTATGAACAAGAACAATCGATTCACCACTAGCGCATATGTCTTTGAAAAAACCAAAACCAATATCTACATAACGGGTAATACGTTTTGTTGTGCAATTAAGTTTGAGTAATTGTTTCGAAGTAGCAAGAAGAAAACCATTCGCATACGATGACCATGTCAATTGATTAAGATCACCATAAGTGATATGATCATAGTTGATGTCTGCTACGTGTTGACCTGTATTATCAAATAATTGAAATATTGAACGGGATGATTTATAAATAATTAGATACTGTAAAGAAGTAGTAAAAAGTGTTGTATCCATTGGATCGTAATCAATAGTAAAAACTGTTTTAGATGATGATAAAAATTTATCTAAATCAGGTGATGTATTAATTTGAGAATTAAAATTTAATAAATTAAAATTGGGTTTAATAAGATGAAAAGTTGAATTTAGTTTTGAAATATTTAATTCGAGATGCGAGGATTCGAGTAATTTTAATGATTGTTTAAAATTTTTGAAAACCTGTAAAAAATATTCGATATACTTCAATCAAGTAAATAATTTATTGATCTAACCTCCTGTAAGTTTACTTCTTCGTTGATATCATTATTTAGAAAATTTTCTTTCATTCTTTTGAATTCCAATTCATAATGTTCATAAGCTGAATAGATATCTTTTTTCATTGTTGTAACATTTTCAATCATTCTTTTTTGCCATTGATTTAATTGCTGAAATAAATCACAACGATTATCTTCAAATTGAACTGCTTTCAAACGTGTTCTACAATCTTCAATAGTAGATACTAAAGATTTATGTTCATTATCAATGTCAATTTGATGTTCAACAAGATGTCGTAAACAAAATGTTAATGGACAAAACGTTTTCAAATAGACATCTGAAAAAACAAAATATAATATTTGATTACATAAACTAGGCTTATCTATTCAATTGGCTAAATATATGAATGATTTATTCTCATAATCGTATTGTCTACTGAGTTCCATATAATATTAAATCTTTTACTACTATCATAAAGAAAAGAAAATTGCTCTATCCAATCATATTTATTCATTAATATATTGTAGTGCAAAGATTTTCAAATGAATTTTGTTTATTATATTTTTTTAAGTATGATAATTGATAATGAACTATCAAAGATTGCCTCATCATCCTCACAATGACCGAAGCGAATATTTATGATTACATAACAACAGAAACTTAAACGAGATAGTAATGTGCGGTAGTTTATTGGATGTAAATAACAGGAAACGAAAGTGAGGCTAAGAAGAAAAAAAATTTGTTAGATATCATTCATTCTGGTTAAAAATGATAGGATAAATAGATAGTATTTGAAGAACATCTGTCATGAAAGATTCCTTCTAAAATGATTTTTCTATGAGAACATGAATATTTCTATTTTCAGATCAACCCATCGGTTAAGTCGTAAACAATTTTTAATTTAGAACTATTAATTTGACTAACAGTCACGCCTATGCGAGGTTTTATTATGAGTCTAAATTTAGTAAAATCAAACTTCGCTAATAAAAAAACATTCGTTTAGTTCAGCCGTTTAGCATGGCTTGTGTGTAAAGCAATTAGGCAACTTGTTGGAACACATATATTTTGGTATCAAGCGAAAATAATGCTGCTTTTGGTTGACGATAATATATTGAAGAATTCACGATAACCAATATAGAGTTGGTCACGCTTCATGGTCTTTGATATTCATGCTAGTGGATACTCAGGAATAGAGAAATTAATCAAATAAATGATCCAATCGTTGATTATTTTTGACTCAGTGTTTAAAGCTATTCTACAGGGTAAAAATTATTTTACTGCCACTTTCATGTATAGAATAATATGCAATACAACCATCAAACGACGATAGTTTCAAAAATATCACAGGAGGTATTTATGTTTTTACCCGTATGATTATCTAAATGAAATACTGAATGCTTTATAGTATACTGCTAATGTTGAATAGAATACTTTCTAGACAAAATGTAGACAATACGATCAAAATCCAGCATACTAAATCAACAGCGAACATTTCTTGTGCTAATTAAAACCGCAGAAATTAATTCTATGTAAAACTGTGACTCAATTGTATCATAGTTTTTTTAGATGGAAAGTGTAGTAATCAAATTTTTTAATTTAAATAATTTTTCAATGTGTGGTCTTTCTTTTTTGGAGCATAAGTATTATTTATCAGTAAGTAACAGATTCTTACGTTAATTTAGAAAAAAAGTAAAACAATCTATATATGACCGATGGATTGTGTTGGTTTTATTCGTCGTTCATTAGTATTTTCTTATAATATTTTCTTTTTTTTTCACGTGCGCTCAATTTCAAAAACAGAAAAGCGTACAACAGAAAAACAAGTAATCCCAAAGGTTTAACGGTACGATTTTTGATATTTGGCACGTGCACCTGGACCACCAAATTTCTTCGGTTCACATCGTCGTGGATCAGAAACAAGCAATGAACGATCATATTGTACGAGTATATCTCGAAATTGTTTTTTTGTTGCTTCATCAACAAATTTTTGAGTATAAGCAACAAGTGATTTCGCTAATGCTTGTCGTATAGCATAAATTTGTGCAATGCGACCACCCCCTTTTACTCGGATACGAACATCAACATTTGCAAATTTATCGCGACCAAGAAGATGAATTGGTTCTTCAAGTTTGAAACGAAGTGCTTGTGGTTCGACAAGATGTAGTGGTCGACCATTGACACGGATTGAACCGTGACCTTCAATTTTAGATTACCAACATTAGATTGAATAACAAGTAGAAAAAAGAGATTATTTATACCTTGTTGACAGACAGCAACGGCTGTAGCTGTTTTCTTTCGGCCAAATGTTTGCACACGTTGTTTTTGTACTTTCGACATGATTTTTACACTCGAAAAATCTAGAAAGATATTATAAAAAATTCATTTGTAAACTAAAATCGATTAGAACATGCGGACAACTTTCAATGTTTATGATAAATGAATTCAATGTAGACAAGAAATAAACAAAATTTATTTTACTGTGAGTCATCTGTTTCTATACATTGGTATTGGTTATTTGATTTTATGTAGTGATTTGAATATTTTTTTCACGAAAAAACTAAATTCAAATAATAAAATATAAAATTGATTCTTAATCTGTATTTATTTTATTCAAATAATAAAAAACTATCTACTGCCATCTTTTGGTTCACATTTTATTGGTCGAATCGTTTTTTTGAAAGAAACTTACTTTGTCTGTCTGTTATAGATTCATTTTACAAAAAAACAACTTTTCAATTGCTTCAAACATGCTCAATATATCGCCGAACAGTAGCTTTGTGCGGGATGCATCAGGAATTACGACAGATCGTCTAAAATTTCTACTCAGTCAAACATCACAACGTCAATCCATCAATCGAGATAAACAATCAACGCAAAAACGAATATTATTTAGTGTAATTTTTCTATGCCTAGTTCAAATAATTGTGTATGTATTTATTTTAATAATGAATAAACATATGTAGAATGTTATTTTTCATTTAATTTTAGTCCAGACAGTTTTTTGCACTTGAATGACAAAATATGGAATGCTAGTAAGAATGAAAAGCAGATCTGTTTTTTTTGGATACTGAAGTGTTTGTTTCATATAGAAAGATTTATTGTTGTGACTTGTCTTCTTTATACAATTCGTGTATTCGTACATTACATACATATATCATTAGCTAGATATGTATTTTTAACGAAAAATGAATTGAAACAACTTGGTTTATTATCACCAGGTAATAGAAGAGCTCCAATTTTTGTTGTTTATAAAATTTTAATTGAAATGACTATTGTCATAGAATCAGGTTTTGTTATATGTGATGTGCCTCAAGATGTCGAAGCTGCTTTCAACCGTCATAAATATTTCAATAGATTATTATGTTGGATTTCACCACCATCATTGTATACATCGATTCTTAATAAACAAAAAGCAACTGGTACAACACTTCCATTACGGGTTCTAACAGCAACTCTTGCTGATCGTATAGCATCGTTAATAAATATTCGTCATGTAACTTCACCAAATAAATTTGATCAACAGGTTAAAATAAATAATATAAGAGCATGAAGAAAAGAACAAGTTGTTTGTTTATATTTAGAGAGATATATATGACCATACGAATTCGAGTATTGCTTCTCCAGACCCATTAGCAACATTAAGAAATAGTGTCTATTGGCAACCATCTCCAGGTAAGAAAAAAAAGAGCTTTTGATATAATATTTATATGTGATCATAAGTGAAGATAGGATATTGCTTATGTACCAACATGTCCTCATTCAGTTTACATTTACTAAAGTTATGATTCGAACATCATCATCATCATCATCTGATACAAAGCATATTTAGCTTAGCTATGTAGTTGAGAAAAATGCTCTATATTTTGCTATACTGAAAGTTATTACTACTTTTTTCTGCTTCATATATCTACTTGATTATCAATAAGAGCAAGATACTGTTTGAACTGTAACTTCAGTACATGTAAACTAAGAGATGAGTCGATAAAATTTGTTTTTCCATGTGTAAATCTAAAATGTCAGTTAAATTTGATGAAAAATACACTATAGAATATCATAGAAGACATCTACATGTCTCTAGATTTTAATAGAACAAGACAGTATTGATATTCGATATATAAGAGCTCAAACGTTTATCTCATTTTTGATACAATATGACTTATATATTCAAAAAGTAATAGAAAGTTTTTTCTTTTTATAAATAGAATCACCGTCGACAAATTTAAGTGATTGTTCACGCTACTTGAATGAATTTGAGCGTGAAGCATTAGATCTATCAAATGCAAGTCATAATCGAAGTTTAAACGAATGTAAGTTTACTAAAATCAAATAGTGAGTATGTTAATAGTTCGATATTTGTTTTTACAAGCTTTTTGTCGAAGTCCTATTATTTCAACAAATGCTATGAATGATACTCTAGCCGAACTTCGCTCTCGTCCATATCAAATGGCACATGTTCGTTCGGCAACCAGTAAAAATGGGTCAACAGTAGTTGATGATGATACACGAAAATCTGATTATAAAAGAATTATTAGTAGTAGTACTGGATCTGGTAGTAATCAAGCAGGTGGCACTCAAAATACAGTTGTAAGTAGTAGCTCTACTCTTTTAACACGAAAAGACCAAAAAAATGAATATATCTTTTGATTTGTAATGAAATATAGAAATGGCGTAAAGTACGTATTGATGGACCACAATTGTTTGTTTTACGTGAAAATATGCGCAAAGTAAGTGTTGATGAAATATTAAAATCTTCAGAAATTAAATGATTTTTTAAAAATTTAGTGGCTAACGAAAACAATTCTTGTTCCATTAACACGTGATATTGAAAACGTTAATCAATCATTAATTACTCTTGGTCATACAGATATTGGAATTGGAAGTAAGTTAAAAATTTCATTTCACTTCATCAATATAAAGATAAATGCATATGAGAGCATTTTGAAGTGAACTACGTCAATTGAGAAATTCTTTTTTTTATTCAACATACTTTTCTCTACCAGTTGTGGTTTCAAAATTATCTGTCTGTTTTTGTTCAACTGTTCTCACGAATTCGAGAACAAGCGTTAATTAAGCTCAATGGTTCTTTTCAAATTTTAAAAGACACGTGACGTAACAGTATTTGGAAGTTTATTGTTGAGTTCGAATTTGATTGACTATGATATTAAGATGCGCATGAATCCATTGGGGCATTTGATTTTTCCAATGTATAGTACCATTGTGAACCTTTTTCTTCGATTATAAATCAAATATGGAAAGTGGGTAAAAACTTTCGACTTCTTGAATGAACTATTTTTAGCACTTATCTCGTGAGAATCTCCCAAAAGCATCCTATACTTTGATTGTTCGTGGTTCGAGATTAAGTGCTGAGGACGGTGTGTAGCGCTTAACATTTAAATAACCTCTTTTTTTTGTTATTTTTTTTATAGAAACAACACCAAATGAAATAAAATCATTTATTCGTTCATGCACAAATTCGACATTGGTTTCTCAATTGAATGAAATATTACCTAATTTTGAAATCCATTCAAATCAAGAATATATACTTTCTCGAATACAAAGTATGTGAAACATTTTCTTTCGATATTATTTATTTGTATTCGTCAAAAAAAATCTTTGTTTTCTAGTTCTAGCACGTACATATATGGCGGAGTTCAATTGGAAAGCCGGTGTCATTACGGATGCTGAACTTGTATTTAATTTATTTTGTATTTATTTTGATCGACGTCTTACACCAGATCCACGATTCTTAGATGGAAAAGTATTTCGTGGTAATTATGTTGTACGTCAAGCACAACTAACAAGTAGATATTTTATTTACATTCGAATAGAAGTTCGAAATGAGATATTTTGCATTATATTTAGATATAGCTCGATATCCAACCGCTCTATTTGTCTATCAAGATAAACCACCTGTGTATAAAGTTGTGTCCAATGGTGAAATTCATGATGTACCAGCTGTAAGTAAATTCTATTTACATATAAGATAGAATTTCATATTATTTTATTGTTAGGGTGATCACAATCTACTTGATTGTCTTCTTCTATTTGTTGAATGTGTCAATTCGACTCGAAATGGGCACATCGGGTTAGTTATAAAAGAAAGAAACGTGTTTTATTGATTACCTTTCCTTGTATTTTTTTGTAGGTCACTAAATTTGGGTGCTAGTGGTGTGGACATTTTATGGACCACAATTTCACCATCATTATCATAGGCATTTCTACGCATTAGCTAATTTTTTTCTCCTTAAATTAAAGAAAAAAAGAATAATTCAGACGTGTAGATATTTTTGTATTCGTTTCTATATTTTTTTCTAAAAAGTTAATATCTATTAGATTCAAGCGCGAACACATGTACGATTCGAGTCAAATTTAATAGCAAAGAAAGTACAAATGTTTCGGAATTTGCTATCTACATTGTCATGGAATTACAGACGCGTGTTTGCAAGTGTAAAAGACCGGTTGTTTGTTCAATTGCGACTGATAATTTCATTTGATGAATGAAAATATAGCCTGTGTGATTTTATTACTCATGCGAACGTAGTAGAGTGGTGTGAAAAATTTTGATTAGCATGAACCTACATTGCATTCGAATTCAAGCTCAGTATTTGGAACAATAATTCCTATTGAAGTTTGGAAACTATAAAACTATTTTAGACAGTCTTGAACATTTTTGGTCATCATACAGATGTTACTCTAAGTAAATGACTAATCATGAAAGTGTCCTAAGCTCCGGATTTGAATGTTTCAAAACTGTATTGATATTTTTCAATATGACAACAGAGTTTGGATTTTTTTAATTGTCTTTGCAAATGTTTGTACATCTAGTTTATCTTAGCATATAGTCATTTGTTTTACGTTTCTGAAGTATCAACGTAAGATTTTGAATAAAATATGACTTCAACAATGATATTTAGAGTCAGTTTTTTTAAAATTGGTGATACTAAAATTCTTCAGACAAGTCAATACAATTGATTCGAGTCCTGCATTGAAGGCTCTTTCTCACAGCTAATCAAGGTCTCTCTATCAATTACTGTTCAATTTTGCATGGAACGAAAACAAGCCAAATATATTTAAAAAACGAATGAAAAACTATCTGTATTTCCCCAAGATATTTGCATTCCTTACTGTATATTTCGATAGTATCGTGGATTTCGTCTGCTCATCATTTCAAATATTTTTATAGTACAGTGTTATTGCAATATCATCAAGTTCTTCTAGATGCTTTGTGATTTTTACATTCAAATATTTTTTTTTCTCAAGAACAAACATGATCGCAATTTTTTTAATATATACTTGAAAAGAGTTCGCAAGCCGAATTCCAGTGTAGATGTCTTCAATTTTTACAAGACTCTAGTTAGCAAATGAAAACTAGAATGATATTTTTCCAGGAATTTTCGCATCATCGTCGATTAAGCCATTGATGGATGTTGATGTAGCTGTAAGAGAATATGTTATTTTGAAATTTAAACTACAGATACGCCGTTTTTATTATTTTAAGGTTCAATTTAATGCATCAGAGGTAAGAAGTAAACTTTGTTAATTTAATCCTTTGAAAATGTTTTATGTTATTAACCTACAGTAGGCATGTATTTCGAATAAATAACTGTTAGTTGAACAACCCGTAAGCTATTTGCTTGCCCATTAGTATTTTATTTATGTATAATATTGGTTTTTTTAACCAATCGTTTCAAATAGGTATAGGAAAGCGCGAGAAAAATAATGATTCAACAATGTTGACACAATACCAAGTACGGATGTAAATAGTGCTCTCAAGATTCTTTTTTCAAAGTCTTTCTGTCAAGTTTTCTGATCACAGTAGGAAAAAAAGATAGGGAGGACGAACCATATCCACTGTTGTATCTGCTTTGCACGCTTGACACAAAAGACAAGAAATATTATTAGTATGCAAAAAGTCAGATCTTTCTTTTGTCTATCATTTGTTCATATTCAGATCAAATCGATACCGGCATCGCCATTTAGTATAAACCACAAGATTAATAAAAATTAAAATGGTACGCATAATAATTCTTATATAAGATCATTTTCAAGAGTATTTAGATAAGAAACTTGAATCTAATTATTTGATAAATGTACAGTAAATTTATACTTCTAACAGAGGTTTCTTTTTGTCGAATTCAGTTAGAGTTATGGAACTATAATGACTCAATTTAAAAAACAAAATGCAATGATATCTGATACAGAATTAAGTTAGTATTGATATTAAATGTAATTCAATAGACTTAGAAAGATTTCTTTTAGGTTGGATTGGTAGTATTGGTCAAAGTTTTGATGGTCTTCTTGCTCCATTAATTTTGTTCTTAGCTCGTCGTTATGGATATCAAATATTTTTTATTTTGTGACTTATCATATGCGTTATTTCATTATTAGCTTCATCAACTATAGATAATCTTCATTGGATATTACTAACCTACTCAATTCCATATGGCTTTGCTAATTCAGTTATTTTCATTCTTGGCACATTGGTGTGTGGTCTTTATTATCCAGTTAGTCAATATTCAAAACATATTCTTGTTATGTGTATAATTTCAACAGGATTCCCGATGGGTTATCATATAATGAGTGCTTTAATATTTTAGTCGATTGAACAACATGGATGGCAATCAATGAAACGATGCATAGCTATGCTAGAATTATTTGCTACATGTATAATCGACCCAATGTTTACAAAAAATATCTGCCAAGTGCATCTTCAGAATATTCTCATACATCAAAGACTGTTACACAAAATATTAATCGGAAAATTTATTTTTCATTACCAATTATTCTTTGGATGTTAGGAATATTTACAACAATATCTGCAGTCAACAATTTTCTTCTTCATTTAGTAAGGATTTAGAACAAATTATTTCTAACCGAATATTATGAGACAAGATCTGAGAATAGTATAGAACGTCAATAGAATAAATGCTAATATACTTTCTAATTTCATGTCGGAAGGACTTTTAGATAAGTATAATAAAGAAATATGTTCTGAACTAGATAGAATTCAACAATATCTTGTAATTAGTAATATAAACGTTGTTTACATTTTAATCATGTCGAGATCGTGTTAATCTTTTTCTTTTAATATATAAACTTGTTTTTATAGCATAGTTATTTGGAATATCTTGATATTTCTCCTGCTCGTGTCGATCTCTGGTTCCGCATATATGTCAAACTTGAAAGTTTCAAGTTTGACACTACTGGGTTATTGATATAACAGGAACTTATAAATCAATCATTCTAACGTCAATTTAGTGTTACCATAATATTATCGAGTAAGGAGAAAATGAATCAACTCGAACAAAATCAAATTTCTACTTTATAATACAAAAAATACTGTCTTATCCATCATTGTTTTATTGACTGTGAGTAGGTAATGGTGCATTTGCTAATTGTTTAACACCTGTGTCTACATTAAAATTGATTTGTATGGGTTTCATGGTAGCATAAGTCGTTGGACAAGGACATGATTCAATATTCTTGGATGATAAATCTCCACCACAGAGACAATTACAATCTAATCCATATCGCGATTTTGATACATCTTTAACAAGTTGTTTAAATTGAGATTGATTGACATTACATGTTATTGAAGGAGTATAGCGTTGACGAACGCCACAACATGTACAATCACAATCAAGAAAACGAAGCTTAAATTGTTCCTCTTTTTGTTCGCATGACATGTTTATTTTATATAGTTTAATAAACAAGAATATAAAATAGGATAAAAATAATCTATAATTCTATATATGCGCGCTATAAAAGTATATATTATTAATTTAATGTATTTTTTCCAATTTAACTAATGAAAAGAAAATATTCGTTCCATAACTTTGTCTAGTAACAAACAAAATAATCAATGTGAAAAGAAATTCATAATAAAAAAACAAGACCTGCTAAATAAAAGATATTGTTTTTAGATATAATCACAAACATTCGCGGCTCATATAATGGATTGAAGTGTTTGATAGACTTTACTAAAATTTCCCATAGTATATTCTTAGATTTTTCATAGCTTAATACCTAAACTGTTGTACCATTTAAAGTTCATCTTCTTTTGAAAGTATTGATAAATGATTAATATTTGACGAATTGATGATTTATCAGCATAATGTATATTGCATTTGTTTCTAAAGATCTGCTCTATCTATTTTAGAGAATCCATTATAAACTTTGTATTTGTATCTGAATATTCTTTAGAATATTGGGAACAAAAACCGTAGTCTTATATCAGCTTGCTCACAACAACACATCAAATGGCAATAATTGTTCATTTCGATATTCAAGGTGACTCTGGTCTACTCTCTAGTATGCTGGCTTAATAGTCCTACTCGTTTATATGCACCAAAAACATATTTCTATTCTAGAAAAATGTCAGAAATCCGTTTTATTTGTATTGCAGGTTTTCCTTATTCGAGAACTTTCGTTAAGTAGAGACCAAGGGGGAACAAACTGATTTCATGATTTCATGATTTCACATGGAGTTTTTGATTTCAGATGATTTCAAGTGATTTCGGATGATTTCAAATGATTTCAAGTGATTTCGGATGATTTCAAATGATTTCAAGTGATTTCAAGTGATTTCAAGTGATTTCAAGTGATTTCAAGTGATTTCCAACGATTTCAGTGATTTCAGGTGATTTCAAGTGATTTCAGTGATTTCAAGTGATTTCAAATGATTTCAGGTGATTTCAAAAACTTGTCAAAATGCATTATTTTTTATTGGAATTCAAAGGAATTTCTTTTATGAAGCTAAATTACCATAAGCCAGCAAAAAGCATAAGAAAATATAAGTTTTAGTGAAAAAACTATTCAATAAGAATGCGAAAGCGAAGGCGAAAACGAAAATACGCGAATTGATAAAACTTTTATTATTAGCTACTTGAAATATCTTAGAAAAAGAACTTTTAACAACTTCTAACGATTGAATATCGCTTGACAACAGTGATCAAAGCTAACAAGAAAATCCTGATTCGACTCGGTTCATACGAAAAAAAAGAGAATTTCTGTATTTTCATAAACAAAATTTGTCTAGATCGTATAACAAATTTTACTGAAGTTTCGGTTTTTCGTAATAAGGAACCTGATCGACAAAAATTCAAAGCTTCAAAGAGAATCTACTCTGGATATCAGGACTTAAGCTGTATATAAAGAGTTGGTTATTCCTTATCGATCAAGGAATGTCTTATTTTTTGAAATTGCACAATTACCTTCTCCATCAGTATCATCTATTTGGAACAAGATTCAGATGTTAAGAACCGAATTATACTAACTTCTAATTTCGGTCGAACTGTAACTTAATTGTCAGAGCTGTACTGCAGTCAGTGTGGCCAAAGCTTAGCCCAATGAGTTTGTTAGCTTTTGCATAAGGAAAATACGATATTAAGATTTCATTTTAGTTTGTTCAATTCACGTTCCATGTGGATTAGCGAAGTGGAGTATGTAGCAGAGTCATAACCTGTTAAACCCGCAGGTTGATAGCTTTGCTACCGATAATGCAATGAAAGGAGCAAACAGTACTACTTATTCACATAACAGAAATGTACGAATGTATTGATTCGAAAATTTGCAAGCATTGCTAAGGCAAAATACTGTAAACAACTGGAAATCCATACTAAGCTTATGAAAAATGAGGTAGCCACGAAAGCTTGTGCACAGGGGCCAACTTCCTCTAAAATTATCTATCTTGAAACAAACGGATAGAGTGTACCTCATTCTCAAATAAAATATACAAAATAGTTATACAATTTTCTAGGCTTCTCACATTGAAAGATCTATGCAATTTGAAAAGATTTAAGATACAGAGAACACGATATAGTACCTACTTAATAGCGGCCTGGTTAGTCATGATTGAGACCTAATCAGAGATTATTTTTGAGTCAAGGAGAGAGTTGCGTTTGATTCAGTTTTAAACTCAGATCTCTGTTACAAATATCTTGAAATTCCAAGAGAACGACTAGTTTCTCATAGGAGAACTGTCTGAAAAGTTGAAAAGAAATTGATCGCTGTCAATATCAAGTATATTAGAAGATCTTACACAAATTCCAGTGAACATACTAAAACAATACAGCAGAAATAAAAAGATGTAAGAAAGATAAATGCATAGCTAAATAGATAATAACGATGAGGGAAATAATGGTAAAAATGAATAAAAAGGAAAATACGGATTATTTGAAAATTTTACTAGAATATTAACTCGTAGGATAACCTGGTATACAAAACCTTCCTAATTTAGAGGTTTCAATGGATCAGCCAAGACTGAAATAAAAGAACCTACTGCATGGGTTATAGATATTTCCCTTAATCAGCTCATAGTTTTCTTTTAAATAGCTGTTCATCCAGGGACATCCATGCCAGACACAGTTGGTTGCAGTAATCAAGTTTTCCGAAACTCGCATAAAGTTTTGAAGAAAGTGATGAATCTAAGTTTAAGCACAAGATTTTCCGAATCTCTATCCTCTTTCAATCGCAGAGATTAATTACTACCTTCCCAGTTAATTATAGTCTACAGAAATTAGTCGTCGATTTCCTTCTTTTCGCCATTAAAATACAAAAAAACACTAACGATTCTACACATTAGCAACCAGTTTATTTCATGATTACAGACACTAGTATCTAGTGTATCGTCCTTTTGGAGACAAGCAAAAATTTACCAGCCGAATGGCAGGCCTTACTGTCACGATTTTAGTGTATACTTCACACCAGAATCAATTTATCCTCCCTTGTCTACTTTTTATACGGATACCCAGTGTAGATCGAGAGAGAGGAGAACAATAGATATCATAGCGAGACAAGGAGACAGCACAAGCACTTATCACCGATCAAAGTAGACGTGTGCCATAGATTAATAGATGATATGTTGTTATCCCTTTCGCGACGATTTGATTCTACAGGATTCCCAAAAAATTTTCCGGGGATTATAGCTCAAATGCAAAGAGGTATAAAAGTGATTTTTATATCAAACAAAAGCTCGTTAAAAACTGGAATATTCAAGTTTAACTGATGATTCATAGGGTGATAATAGGCTATAGAATCACCGAAAGTTTCAAAATTTTAGGAGTATAACTGGTTTACTTCCATGGGTAGTCAGCCATAAAAACAGAAGTTTTTCAGAAAATTTCTTGACTTGACAGACTTTGTGGAGCTATCTGCTCCGATCATTTTGGTAAAAAAATATTTTAAATTTAACAAATAAATGACGATGCCTGGGTTAAAATACTGAAAAACATCAAGCAACTCTATTTGCTAGAGCTACAACGTTTTTTCAGTATTTTGACCCGGGCATCGTCATTTATATGTCAAACTTAAAATGTTTTTTTACCAAAATGATCAGCGCAGATTGCTCCAGAAAGTTTACTGGACGAAGAAATTTTCTGAGGACTTACTATTGTTTATGGCTGACTAATTAATGTATATTCTAGTGTGGGCCACCGGTAGCTCACATCGCCGCGAAAGGTTTATATGAGGAGAAACGATAAACTCAATACAATGAGAGTCAGTAGACGGTCACAGAATTAGTAGTATATACATATCGAAGCGAGAAGAGTAAAGCATGGTATAAAACTCGATGAAATGATACGATTGGTATAACATGCAAGAACAACCAACTAGATAAGAAAGTGATACCATAAAATGATACACAATAAAATCAACTGGGGATGTTTCACTTACGAATAAGGTCAATTTTTATGTAGATTTTATGCTAAATCTATTATTTATTCATTTAGTGTCAGTAAAGGATGCATGTGAGTTTCGAATTTTAGTCTTCAAATGGCTGTGTTAATAAACTTTGTCACACATGACTGATTAGGAATAATGCAAAACCCATTGATGTGTAATCGAAGTTTGGTAACATGTTTGAAGAATGGTGCCAGTAAATTACTATTATTTCTCATTTCTATCAGTCAAAATTTGTTTTGAATTCATTATGATCAGTTCTATTAGATTAGTATTTGGGATAGATAGAATTGATAGACTGGTTTGCCTGCGGAACTCCATGGGCCGGTTGATGTCATCTATGTATAGGTCATAATCTATTTCCAAAGACCGACCGGTCTACCTGTTTCATATATTATTAGCTCATTGTTCTTGTTGCAGTAAAGTCAATCGAAGCGGAATTGGAAGCTCACTTTCGTATTTCTCTCATTTTATATTCCTATTTCTCAAAACGTTTATGTTTACATTGATGGAAAAATAAAAATCCTGAAGTATTTCAAATTACCGTGAAGAATTTGACAGCAAAAGCTAAAATCTAGATTTTTTCTGTGAAAATTTTGAATTTTCTTGGATTTTTATCTTTCCCGCAATGCATGCATAAACCAATTATTTCTTGTGATTTCAGGTGATTTCAGATGATTTCAGATGATTTCAAATGATTTCAGGTGATTTCAGATGATTTCGAATGATTTCACATGATTTCAAGTTGATTTCAGCTATTGAAATCAGTTACTTCCCCCTTGTCATAGATCAAGAAATAGGTATTGTCGTTTTGTATTTTATTTTAATTTGTTAAAAAAATTATCAAAGTAAAAACTAACGGTGCGAGTATGAATGGCATCTTCGTGAACACCGACAATTCAAAATCATCATTGTATAGATTCAATATTTACCCACTTGTGATCTAAGTACGACATAGATCATGTTTTTATAGGTCGTTTTCGCTTGATTTTGATGATAACTCGACGCCGAGTGGAGGGTAGACTGCTGATTTGAAAACTAATACCTTGAAATTTTAATTTAGCCATGCAGTGATTGAACAATTTAACAGCTTGTTCTATTAATGTATCCGATGGTCGATATGTACCGGAATTATTATTCAATAGAAAATTATTAAATTCATCACGCCAAAATTCTCCAGCGAATCTAACATCTGTTGATCGATTTGATAATGTGATATGTTTACAAAGAAGATGATATGTTACATGGCGAACACGAGGAATTCGCGCAAATACTAAGCAATTATCAGAAACTAAAAAATTGTAGCGTAGTTTCGGATTGTTATTTGAGAATAGATCTTCTACAAGGTCGCCAAGTGACGTTGAATAAGATAATGGTTCAGTATAGCCACTTACTTGCGATCGAGATGCATAAATAATTGGTTTTGAATAAAAGAAATAACATTTAGCCAAATTTTTTAATGTGTGTGAAGCAAAAGCACGAAGTTTATTTGGAAGATATTTATCAATAATATCCGATGGAATGTTTAATGTGTAGATAGAGTAACTATCAAAAATACTCTCTGTCAATTGACCAAAATGAGAAGGTAACGATTTGTATCCGGCTATTTCCATATTCTTCTCAAGCGTTATCTAATCAATAATATTTATTAATATTTTGATCACATTTATTTAACGTAACGCCAGTTTACAGCAAGTCAAAACGGAAGAAACACTGTCGTTTTGCATCGCTACATACATGAATCATTTTATTGCACATCAAGTGAAAGAATAAAGGTAACAAATTTTCAGTGCATACTTGTTTATATTATGTTCATTGACAAGGGTGATGAAAAACTCAAGGTTTAAATGTTGACCATAATTTTAAAAGGGTGTAGTTGTCGGTGCAATTAAGGGAAATTTGTTTTTCCTATCAAAGCTGAAAATGCTGTTTTGCTTTCTGTCAGAAAAATGTAATTTTTTTCATAATAATCACCTCTCACTCCTAATTGACCACTTCAAACCGCCGCTGCGCACATGTATGTAAATATCAGTATATATTTTCTCATCGTAGCAACACGAAGCGCAAAGGTAAGAGCGAAATACATGTAATTACCACGCTCGTTAAAAACAAAAATAATCTTTAGGATGGAAATGTCAAGGTCTATTGATTCATGTAAACATATATGCAAACTGAAAATAAAAAGTAATTACTTTAGCAATTAATGAAGAGGAAGACTGGTTGGACGCGCACAAAAACAACTCGTAAATCCTAGTATTACTCAGTACTTATATATATGATTACTACCCAGTCAGACAAACCTTTGAAAATAACGCGTTAAAACCAGTTTAAATTTCGTTAAAACAGCGTTTTAACGGTAACCAATCATTAAAACGCCGTTTTAACGATTTCTCGAACGCGTTTTAACGCGTTACAATATTTATGAGTTAAAATGCGTAGAAATTTTTTTGATTTATGCGTTTTTATGCGTTACTAACTTTAATTTCACGAGATTTAAGACGTTTTTTTCTTAACAGGTTTTATTACGTACAAATTTTACTATTATTTCATCTACGAGAAGTTTTTGTAGTCAAAAAAAAATACCCGTTTAAAAGTGTGCAGAATTTCCCACTGTCTTTTTAGTACACTGAGGATGAAATCTATCGGGTGGCCAATTTTTGATCTTATTCTATGTACCCATTGGTAAAAATTAATATCAATCAATAGCAGAATTTTGAATTTTGTAGAATTCTCATTTCTACTGCAACATAAAATATGTTCATTATCGTAAAACAGACATATTTTAGGAACAAAGAATTATCCTGATATTGAACAAAGAAAGATGTAATATTTTGGATGAACGTGAATTTTTTGAATAAATGCGCATGTGAAAATTCCAAATATTTTTAAATATATTCTCAAAAATATTTAAAATAATATGCATACTTTCAGAAATATTTTAAAAACTTTTTCAAAGATTTTTTCCAAATGCATCATTGAAAAAATGTGTATATGGTTTTTACATATTTGTATATTGTTTTAAATTTTTTAGAAATTTATCTTAAAATAATAAGAAAAAAATTATGAAAAATATTTTTTTAAATATCTAACAAAATATAAGCATACTTTTCGGATGAATATCTGTTTTAATTTTTTCTCATCAAAGCTCAAAGCAGCAAAAGTTGATTTAAGTCTTAATTTATCAAAATTCATTTCATTCTCTATGCATCTAATTTTATTCGATTCGAATAGTATTTTCACTCTAACTTTCAATCGTCAGATTAGTCGAATGGATACTATATTCGACTCTCAATCAGAACATCGTAGGATCGAATCTTGGAGACCGCAGTAAGTTAGAAAAAAATGTCACTATTTGATATCAGTTTCACTCGAGTTCACGCTATCTCAACAGTGAAGAACATAACGGAAGAAGAATTCTTGATGGCTGGCCAAGTATGATAAACAACAGAAAAAACGCGGAAAAACGCGTTTTTCTTTTTAGCGAAAAGAAAATCGTAAAAAGCGCACATTTTAACGCGTTTATAACGCGTTAATTTTTTGAACGAAGTAATGTTCGTTTAGTAACTCTAACGCGTTACGAACGCGTAGAAATGTGCGCTTTTTACGATTTTTTTTTCGTTAAAATTTCGACGCGTTTTTACACGTTTTTTTTAGTAGTTTGTCTGACTGGGTAGCATTCGTAGACTAGCAATAAAATAATAACATAAAAAAGGTAGTTAATTAACAGAGAGTGACTTTAAGAAAATTCCGATTTCGAATGTTTCGTATATGAAACCAATAGTCTCGATTGAAGTTGCACTTGTATGTAAAAGTAAAATTGTCCTACCGCAAGCCACGTCAAATAGAATGATCTCAACAATGCTATATTATAATAATAGACGTGCCAAGCATATTTTTGTACAGTTAATATTTTTGATTCGATATATTATATAAGCAGTATTTTATCAATACAGATATTACTCTAAATGAACTGATGGTATGCTTTAATATGTATGACAAACGACTGAAACATATCAAAAACATGATAAGAATAACCAGAGGATATCTGATGACTACATTTTTTGTATAAACATTTCTCAATTCATAATCTCTCAATTAAGCAATCCTTAAATCTAAATCTCCATTTGTGGAAAACAGTACCCATTCACTGAAGGTGAGTCTATTTATAATGTGTGGAGATGTAGGTGTGTCGAATTTGTCATAAAATTGAAATTGTTCACCAGCTACCATACCAGCCTTTCATTCGTCGTGACACCCCAGGTCGAACATACACGGGCGTATATGACGGTAAATCGCCGTATTTGGCCGTATTACATGGCTCCGTATTACGATCGTAAATCTCCGTGCCGTATACGGCGAAATGCGGCGCTTTACGGTCGTTTTTGATCGTATTTCACCGTATTACGACACGGAGATTTACGATCGTAATGCGGAGCCATGTAATACGGCCAAATACAGCGATTTACCGTCGTATACGGCAGAAAACGGCCGTATACGGCCCGTATTTCACCGTATACGGACGTCGTAAAGCTCGTCCTGGGACTCCTAGGCATTCATCTGGATATTCATAATGTACATCCTATATATCATAAACCGTAAGAAAATTTTCATGCATGTTATTCTATGATTGATGAAAGTTGTATTTCGTTGTGGAACAAACTGTCAGAGAATGAAAAATCGAACTTAGCCCTGCTTGTGTTTACTGACCTTTTGTATATTCAAAATGTACCCAGTGCAATATATCTAATCAGTAGTCAATATTATTGCATTTACTATTGTTACAATATAATAGGATTGTATAGCACCTGATTCATTTTACATCATGGTTCTCTGTCATTTAATATACTGCAGTTGGGCCCACACATAAATATCTGATATATCATTGGTTACTTCGTTGCTTTTGCCAAAACATTCTCAAGACTATTTAATCATCATCGGTGAAGGAGTAAGAACGTTAGTTAGGAATCAAACGAAACGAAGTGACACTTGTGATATCTAGTAAGGAATCTATATCATTTCAAATGCTGTGCCGTTTAACAATAATTTTATGTCTTTTCGCTATATGCTATGGTGATACCAATATCAAAACCAAATTTCAATGGATACCGTTTTTTGGAAAAACCACAACACAACCTCCATCAACAACTTTAACAACAGTTGCAAATCTTCAGATGAAATGTGTCTGTTCATGTTGCTCTGGTCTGGGATGTAAACCGGTCACACTGAATTCTTTCGTTGATGATACGTGCTTAACAGATGCTTGCAAGCTGAAGTGCAAAATATTCGAACCGAAGCACTGCGATCACTTTTTCTTTGGTATTAATGATGCTTACTGCACTCTATCACTATAAAGAAAAAGATTGAACTATATTAATTTGAAAAAAAATCGTGCTCATTTTTATGACTCTTTCGAGAGACTATGAATGCAAAGAATGTATTTTTATGAAATACACGTAGAACAACACTCTTGCATTGCTAGAGCTCAATTAGCTGCACACGTCTTAATTCTGAAAAAGTATTTTCGTTCAAGATCTTGATTTGTTACTACTCCAGTTTAACAAATCATGACGATGCTCACAAAATGTTGTATGATGCTAAGTAAACCCGAAATCATTGGAACAGCTTTGATCGAGCTGAGCTAGATGATTGTAACGCTTTTTATAAACGGTGAAAGCTGACTAGTTGAAATAGAGAGATGAACAGCTAAAAGAGCTCATTATTAAAAAAAATGATCAACCAACAAGTTCTGGACAGACATTTTTGATATTATCTGCCTACGAAAGCATTCAATGTAACACTCATATAGCTTTTGAGACTATGCGTATATATTTAAAAAGTTTTGTTAATTTAACGAAGACATGTGACGCCAAAATTCGTTAAAAGTGTAACGATTTCACGAACAAAAGATATTACCGTTTAGGCCATAAAAACTCGTCAAAATTGTACAAAATGAACACATTTCAACGTTTTTAAAATCTCTAACGCCTGTTTCATTGTTAAAAAGAGAATTTTTAAACACGTTATTGTGATCAAACAGGAACATGTTTTCCGTTAATTTGTTAAATTTTTAACAAAGCATCATGAAGTAATTTATTGCAAAACGCTTGAAAAGATGTAAAATTCGTTAGGTCATTTATATAATACTGCCGAGACCTTTTTAGGCTGATAATAATCACATACATTATCACAGTGTTTAACAGGCAGCAATATTCCTTAAATTTGATTTATTTGACAAAAAGAACTCACCACAGTATAAGTGAACTTTCAATCTTTTCTTCAGTCAGCTGCATAGAACAACGAAGCACTTCGAAAGCATTGCTTTCTAAGGCTATTGATTTGGGTATGCGTAAGAATCCGCCTACACCCACACCCATACGACACATCCGACACATTTTTACTTAGAGTGTACCCGTCTAGCAGAGATTGAGAGAAATATCAAAAAGGAAGAAAAAGATCAAAGAAATCGATCAAAGCTCAGCTTCTGTTGAGATCATCGAATTGCTAATTCATCCCTACAAACGGTAGTGAGCATGAAGAAATGGTGTTGGTTTGAAGGTAGACATTTGAGTGATTCGTGCGTGACCTCATAGTGTGAGGCTCACACCCAGATCCAGATCCACACACAAATCCCCACACTCATCAATGGGGGAAAAGCTGATTGCAATCAAAGCAATCTTTGGCAATCTTTGACAATCAATAGCAAATATTAGTAATGATTTAGAATAAAATGCTTTTTATTCAAGACAATAAAATTAATTGCCATTTAAATCGTTATCAGTATAGAAAGTATTGTATCATCATAATAAATATCATCTTATATTATATACATATATATATATATATTCCGGTCAATCACGACGAACAGTAGACACTCGATATATAATCTAAGGTGATATTTTTATTTTCTCGTGTGTTCATGTGACACAATAATTTAGAACGAAAAAATATGAACATCTCTTTCTCTTTTTGTTTTCGTTTCATTTCCATCTTCTCAAACAAACTCACCCACCTACTGTTTTATTGATTAATTCCGCTATTTTTAAAATTTCTACCCTGAAATATTCACAAATCTATACAGTAACACTTTCTTCGAATATCATGGATCTTCGTGATGATGTGTTTTACGATTTAATTCGTCAAATTTCTGGAAAGTGAGTCGCATAATTGCTTGCTTTTCAAGAATACAATGGAGTTGATTCATTCCTTGGATGTAAATATGTTACTGCCACGTGAAAAATTGTGAAATTATATGAGATTCTAAGAGATTGTCATCGGATTTTTACGCAATAAAATGAAAATTATAATCGATTTAAAAGATTATTTTTCATTAAAAATCAAATTATTTTTGATTTGGAAGATTTCAATCGATTATAATTTTGATTTTGTTGCGGAAAAATCAGATGATAATCTCATAGAATCTTATATAATTAACAATTTTTCACTGGGTGCTATACTCCAACTTAAATCCGATCAATTAAATGATCTAAAAAAGCATTTGTGCATACGTTAACCGATGAACGATTGCACTTTTACTAGGACTTGAATCATCGGTTCATAACCTCATTAAACTACTCAAAACGGAATGAGAAAAATTAACAAGCAAGTTCGATGATTTCCATCAATCATTTATCCAGTTCTACCAACAGCGAATGTATCGAGGATATTTGTGTGGGTCTGAATGTAGTTGTTGGTGTGATCTTCACTTGATACATATTAAGATCTCGTCGACATCAACACCTACACCCGTCAAAAAGTATCATTTCTAAATTCTATTAAATGTCAAGCTGGTGATAACAACGCCAATGATTCCAATAATAAATTTTTATTTTCACGCCATCTCAAACAGTCTAGGACAGTCGATTTTAAACAAATATCATCTATATCATCGACTTCTATCGTAGAACTAACAGTTAATGCACTTGAAAATACTATTCTGCAAGCGTATTCTTAGGCAAGCTCGTCTCGTATGTCACATAAATATGTATCAACAAAATCAAATATTATCGCTTAGAAAAATGTCAAAACTGGCTAGTTTTCAACTTCAAAAATCATGAATAGTCGATAATTCACATCTTAACCAACAGGATCCAGACTTTGACTTAGATTCATATGATAGTAGTGGTGAAGAAGATGAAGATACTACTGGAAATTGCACAGATAATGAAGATTTAACTGAGAATGGCGAGGATTATGTATCTAAGCATGCTTTCAATATTAGTTCGACTAAATTTCAAGAAATGTGAGTTTTTGATCCCATTAATTCAACCTTGGTCAAGTCGTACTTTATCGTTAACATTAATGGTATAAAAATATATTTACATGACCAGACAGCTGCTTGGCTGCTTTCAAATGATAAGTCTACTTTGTCTTCAGATCGTTTAAAGCGCATTATGAACAAATGATAAAATCTACTTGCATTCCAGTTCTTCATATTTGAATCTCATCTTTTATTTTCGATACGTTATACAGACTTTTGAAGGATAATTTTGGGTAACACCAGTAATTTTAATTTGCTTTTATATTTCCTGCTAAGAACGTGACAGTAATTTATGTAGCTTTCTTCATGTATGTACTCTGTTTTTCTATGAGAAATGACGAGTAAATTCGTCAAATTCTTATGATGCTTCACGATACAAACTTATATTGACTAAAAAGGACTCGAATCGATGATTTTTCGACATCAGAGAAGAAAAATAATCATCGCCAATTATTGGCAATCTTTGGGCAATCATTGGCAATCAAAAATTCAGCCCCCCCCCTTGACACTCACTCAAAATTAATAGAACATCACTTTAACAAGGGCGTGTGTAACAGATGGGGAGACACAAGCTCTCTCTCTCTCCACAACTCAACATACAAATTTTATATGTAAATTTCGAAGACACATGTAAATGCAAGCTGCTTTCGTTTCCAATCGTCCACGGCGTCTTTTATAATGATTACGGAAAATTGAGACGGGATTCGAATTTTCTAGTTACTAATTCTTCTTACTCCGCACTATTCACACCACTAGTCCTTGTTAATATGTAGGAAACTATTCACATGAGATTCAAAGAAATCATGGTATCTAGATGAAGTTCTTATTTTTTCGCGGTCAACGTAACTTCTTTTCAAAAGCAAGGGAATCGTTCGTTGTAAATTCAATATTCATACTGTTCATGAGGACAATATCATTCTTCATTTTGGCATACGCTCAGTGACTAGCTGTAACGATTCTTGAGCGGTATTATCGAAAAGAGCACCTCTCTTGCTTCTCGTTCACTCTTTATATAGCTATCGTGGAACGAGAGTAACAGAGAAAATACCTTATACAGAGAAAGGAAAAAGAACAATCATTGAGTATGAACAACAATAGTAAAAATATAAAATAAACTCATTGGTGACATATGCTCATACAGCGCATAAGATTATATTGAGCATGAGGAACGATAGACAACCGATACAGTAATTAGCACTAGATCAATATATACGAACAAAGAGTAACATATTAGGTAACAGAGAATGATATGATAAGTTAGAAGAGCAAATAGAAACAATCATTTCAAACAACAGTAACAGTATATAACGCTGCATAACACGTTCAACCAGAGTGGCCACACTAACCATAGTCCAAATGTATGCCTATCATTAGTCCCTATAGATTGAACGATGACGTTTTAATGAAATAGAAGCTATTAAAAAAAAGCACCACCTGTTAATGGAGAGAGGGGAAGACACGAAAACCTGACGTCATATGCTATGACAGAAATTTTCAGCAAACAATATGACATTGGGGCGTGAGAAAGGATCAGTTAAAAAAAGTCAAAAATCGTGTGGTGCACTTTTTGGACGGTTCCATACAGTACAACTCTTTCAATCAAAACGCTTCATATATCACAAATCAGCTAAAAGTAAGACGTACTTTTTCCTTACTAACTTATCTACTTGTTCTCAAAAGACATCTGCGGTTCGAAGAACCGTTTAATGTCGATCATGTCCACCTCCAGTCCCAATAAAATAACCGGTTCTAACCAGGAACTAGATTATTTTCAATACATCTTCAACCTGGGAGTTCAAAAATTAAAAGAACAACAGAAATCTCCTTGAACAACTACCAATCCATACAGTCCGTGGAAAATCATGGCCGAAAATATCGTTCATCCAATTCACCAATAGTTAATCGTCAACAGTCTGATTCATCAGACCCAATCGGACATCGTACTATCATGATGTCACCAGTGAATAGAAATCAAAATATAGCTTCAATCCCACCATTGATGAATGAATTAAATATATATCAGTCCAAGTCTCCTAATATATCTACACCTACGTCACGACCGCAAATCTATTCTCAAAATCAAGCCTCAGTGTCCTTTTCTCCTGCAATACGACGTCAATTAAATGACAGCGGTGAAAATCAACAGCTACAACATCGCAAGAAACACAGATCGAATGATGATGTTCGCACCAGTCACAACTCTAAACAGCTAGTCATCAACAATCTAGCGGTACCTCCCCGAGATAACAACTCAAGATTAGTAAATCAACAACAACATCAACATCAACATACAACTAATAATCATTTCCCATTAGTGCATTTGAAACGTGCAGTTTCGAATAATCTTCCATATTTCTATTTAGGATTTAAAGAAGACGTGAACTCTGATAATCTACCTTCATCGGCTAAAATTATCCATGAATTAAACAAATTCTTTTACAATAAATGGATACCAACATTCAAGGGTTTTACAATTTGTTCATTAATAGGAAAAAATCGTTTCAAAATTAGTACAAATGATAAAGCAGATTATTCTAAATTAATTAACACTGAATGGCCCGACACAATTGATGATAAAGTGGTTGAAATAATTAAACCTAACCATGTTCCGGACTGTTTCGCTTTTGTCGTACGACATATACCAAGTAACATTCCAAACGATCAAATAGTCAAATACATATACCAGGTTTTCAAATCTGCTGTTCAATTCACTGAAATTAGTCGGCACCAAAATAATAATCAATCAACGAAAGATTATCGCTTTACCATTACGGATATTACTGAATATTACACGGCTCTTGAATTGAAACGCATTGCTATAGGAAATCAACTGCTACCCTTGACCCAATTTAGAACAAGTTATAAATTAACATACTGTACTAAATGTTGGAAAATTGGACACATGAGATTTGAATGTAATGAAGCGACTAAATGTCGTATTTGCCTTGACAAATTTGAAGAAAATGTCTCACACCAATGTAAAAGAATAGCAAAATGTGCACAATGTAACGAAGATCACTGGTCATTAGATAATAAATGTCAAATCATTCGCCAATATAAACAGGATCTTAAACATGCAGTTGAACAGGCAGTTACAACTGGAAAATTACAACGATTTTACCCGCAAGATATCAAAAAACCCTTCGTAAACACAGGCGAGGACTTTCCTGTTCTTGTTCATTCTACACAGGCACAGATACCAACTCCATGGAATAATCAAAAAAAAGAAAACAGTGAATTACTAAATGAACTGCAAAAGATCAATGGATCTATGAATGGATTACGTAACGATATTGAAGTACTTGGAAAACAACTAATAGAAGAAAATAGTAAAATATTAAGTCAAGATAAGTTAATCCATCAACAACAACAAAACATTGTACTAGTTATCAATCAGTTTCAAATTATTATCAAATCACTAACAGAAGCTATGCCTGAACTTGATAATAAAACAAAAAAAAAGATAGAGAAACAGATGAAAACTTTAGCTGACATCGGAAGTAAAATTTCACCAAATGAAATATCTACTCATTCAAAAGAACAAGCCACGTCACATCGAATACAAACAGATACAATAACAACATCAGCAACAACAACAACCGAAAATGGGGGAGGTAATGGTAATGAAAAGTCAAATATGTCAATTGAGACAAGTGACGATGTCTAAGTTAAACAATTCAAACTTAAATGTTAATGCTCTCCCTTTCTTTCCCAAAACGATCCTCATTCCTTCTCTTTCTCCCTCTTCTCATTCTTCTTCTCTCTCTTTCGCTTCTTCCCTTCTTTCTTGTCCCTCTTCCATTTCTACTAGACAGCTAGAAAAAATGAACAGTTCAGTACAAACTGACCAACAGAGACTCAGACAGTGTGGTTTCAATGTAAATGAGTGTAATCAGCTCTCGAAATACCTTTATGAATGGTACTCGTCATCGACGTTAAATCAAGTCATGATCCAGTGGGAAAAACATGGTGAAAAAGAAAAAAATACTCAAGATTGCGAACATATACCCCTCACCTTTATTTCCTATAATGTTCAGGGATTATCTACAAGAGGATTAGAAGTAGTAAATCTAATACATCAGATGGGAGCGGCTTTTATCGTATGCACCGAAGTCGGAGATCATTACAATACACTTCAGATACCAGACTTCAACATATTTCACGAGAAGGGAACAAATAAAAATGGAGGTGTTGTCATTGCAGTAGGGAAACACTTAAATGCAACCAAGGTGGAAACAACGTTACAAAATACTTTGATAATAGATATAATAGGACTAAATGAACCAATAAGAGTAATAGGTATTTATTGGCCAAACAGCCAACAGAGAAATATTCAAGAAGTAAACTCATATATAATAAAAAATACGATCATAACAGGTGATTTCAATGCATCAGTAGCACAGTGGAATAGTCCAAAAACAGATAAAAGGGGACAGATGATATTGGAGTGGAGTGAAGAAAATCTTCTAACTTACATTCCAAGCACATCTAATTCCTCAAAAAGATCATTGAGGAACATAGATTTGACTTTTACAAACTTTGCAGATGTGAGTGGGGAGACAATGAACTTCGGAACTAGTGATCATTGGCCACTAGTTTACAGTTCAAGTCTCATTTTCCTTCCCACCTCTAGAAAATTCTCTACCATTAAATGGAAGCACTTCGAGGTGATTCTATATTTATTACAGGAGTATTGGATAAAACAATGCGACTTGATGACATCAACTGAATGGTATAAAAATTACACTCGGTTCTTAACAGCACTTAAAAACCGTCTCACTAAATGGCAAGAAATTTCTAAATGGAAACCTACCCTGCCGCCATATATATTGGAAAAATTGAATCAGCTACACAAGATTAGAAATAGATATTATAAATATCGGCAGGAAAATGATCGAACATGTCTTCGCCAAATGACGAAACATGTTAGAACAGAAATACTTATATATAGATCAAGTAAATGGAACGATTTTTTAGAAAATATTCAGCAAAATCATGGTAGATCTGACTCAACCTTTTGGAAACATCTTTCTCGTATCTATCGACCGAAATCACTACCCTTCCGCAAACTCAGAGTGAATGGAATAGAGATTACTTCGCAACAGGAAATAACAAAAGAGCTACACGAATACTACTCAAACCTCTTCACTCCCCCTACAATTAATCGAGACGATCCTTTCGACGCGCAAGTAGAAATAGACTACAGCCACATTTTAAAACAAGTGAAATCATATACAAAATCAATTGAGTTAACATCGCCATATGAACTTAAAAGAACCATTGATAATCTAAAACCAAAAAAATCAGCAGGATACGATGCCATATCGAACTTTATGATCAAACGTCTACCTCCAGGCTACCTGCAATGTTTGAGTAAATGCTTTAACAATTGGTTCGCGGAAGGAATATTGATAGATGATTGGAAAATAGCAAAAATAATAACGCTAAATAAAGTGAAGACAGGCTCACCACAATGTGATCAAACCAGGCCTATTTCACTGTTAGCAACTCACTCCAAGCTCTATGAAAAAATCTTGTTGAATCGAATTCAAAATTGGGCCGAAACCAATCATATAATACCGGTAGAACAATCAGGCTTTAGAAAAGGATGTCTACTACAAACTAGAGTACTATCAATCTACCAGGAGGTAAAGAACTTCCTTGCAGCAAATGTACCAACGCTCAGTATCTATGTAGACTATAAGAAAGCTTATGACAAAGTATGGCATGAAGGCCTTATTGTAAAGCTATACCGTATGAAAATTCCCCTTGAGCTACTTAAACTAATAATTAACTGGCTGAACAATCGAAAAGCCTATGTGGAATTTGGAAGCCACAAATCAGATGAATTCGAAGTCAAAGTTGGCCTGCCACAAGGAAGCTCTCTGAGCCCATATATTTTTATTATCTTCCACTCTGATATAGTAAGCCGTACGGATGCATGCTCCACGCACATATTTGCAGATGATCTATGTGCCCTTACAGTTCCCCCAATTCAGAAAAGTCTACCAAAAATGATAGAATATATAAATAAAAAAGGAACAGAAATATGTAAAAATCTGTTTGAATACTCAGTGAAGTGGAAGCAGCCAATAAATGTGGATAAAACTGTTGTACAACTTTTTCATACACAAGTAGTACAACCTAAAATACAAATATATATGGATGGAAAACAACTCGACTGTGTTAGAAGTTTCAAATATTTAGGATTTGAATGGACAGACAAACTATATCTTGCCCCAACCGTTGATCGTTGCATAGAAAAAATCAAAAGTTCTTATATTAAGTTGAAATGGTTGAAAAGAAATAAACATATCACTACTAAGGTACTGAGGTTATGCTTTTTCGCATATAGCTTCCCGTTCTTTGCGTGGATGTTTCCCTTTTTCCCTCTTTTACCATTAGCATCCCAAGAAGTACTAAAACGCAAATTTAGAGTTGGATTGAGATTAGTTCATAGACGTCCGTTTATCGCAGCACATGAAATTCCAGTATTATTAAAGGAACGTCCATTAGAGTCATATGTAGCAACTTATCTTAACAAGAGACTCATCCGAGCATCTAGATCAGATCTGGGTGAATCTTTATTCTATAATGACATATTTAATTGGGACCACTTCATAAGCAAACGTGAGAAACAGAAAAACCTAAGCGTAGGTCATTACTTTAGATTGGCCAGAGTGAAAAAGATGAAGGATAGGCAAGAATCATTTCTAATGCGCTGGATTCAATTCATTGAGGACCATATGACAAAAGCTGTTAAATGAACTCTTTTCCTACTTTCCTCCCATACCTTAGTCTCTCTCTCTCACTCTCCTTCTTATTTTCTTTATTTTCTTTATTTTCTTCTTTTTGTTACTGTGTTTTCGTTCGTTTTTCTATTTCTTTCTTGCTCTCCCTTTTTGGCCCTTTTTTTTTCTTTCTTTTTGTTGTACCACATTATTATAAGCGTCTCTAGACGTAATAAAAGTGCATACTCAAAAAAAAATAATCAAAACGCTTCTTATAAACCATTTTTTAGTTGGTTCTTCGATGAGAACGAGATCAAATTTTTCAATAAAAATGTTGCCCCAAGAGTTTAACCGATTTATGTTTCTGTATGTATTCGCCGTTAAATCAAGATGACTCGCAATGTTAGAGAGATGACTAAAATTGTCATTGCTTTTTCTAGGACATTTTGGCATCATTTTTTGTATGAAACTAACGAAATGTTTACAAGGTATTCAATGTAAAAAAAGAAGTATTTTGGCAAGCAGTTTAAAAGCGATCATATATCTTTTCAGCACCATTTTCTGGCAATTCTTTTGCGACAGTTCGACGTCGACAACAATGGCACAGACGCTTGGCAAGCGGAATGATGATGAGTCTGACGATGAGAAACAGAAGACCAAAAATCTCTACACATACTATAGTAAATAGTAAGTCGGTGAAGATGAGCTCTGCTTGGTCTGTGATAGGCCTCTGCGTATTTGATATGTAATACGACGCCTCGCTGATACTTACTGTGACCGTAGTACCTAAACTTGTCACATACTTGTAATCGTTTTCATCAATAAAATTTTGGTCAATATCGTATGATGTGTAAGCTGTCCATATGGCACTGAATTCTGTAGCATCGTTTTCATCTAGAGGATACGTTCGATTCATCAGCTTAGATAGCTGAACTGCAAACGAGGGTTGGTGGGAAAGAATCCTACCAGAGACTGAGAACGCTTGACTAAAATCGAGATCGACAAGTTTGTAAATACCACCCAGCCTGTCGTCTTCTTGTTGAGCACCTGGTCCTGTCAGTCCGAAACGAAAACCGCCAATTATTTCGATACCGGTAAGTGACAGTTGCAAATTAACAGTATGTGAGGGTAGAACGGCCGAAATCGATAAGCTGCCATTGTTCTCCACGCACGTAGAAGCAATCAGAAATTGTCCTGCGCGTCTGTTTTGCATCAAGATAACATTATCGCTGCACGTAAAGAGCGTATTGATCAAATCAAGATGTACTGTGAATTTTTGTGCATTGAGAAGGTTGAACATAGGTACTTCGTCATCGTTTGGTGCAATTGTCAGCGACATCAAACCCGAGCTGAACTGCGCATTCGTCAACGTTGTATCACAAGCAAAGTTAGCAGGGCTATTCACTTGTTCAATAGGATAGCGTTGGAAGTAGGCACTGCTAAATGCGTACGCGAATATAGCAACAACAAGAATAGCAAACGTAGCAATTCCGCCCACCCATAATTCACCCTCGCCGATAATATCTGTTTGTTTGAAAAAACGTGTGACTCTTTTACGGGTTACTTTAAGTTGGGTATTGTTCACGCAGCATTTCAAAATGGCCAAGGAAAATACGATTACAATGCCCAACACTGTAACAATAAGCGCCCAGAAGAAGGCGGACACGAGTACGCAATGACCTGACATTGGCGAGCGAATGTAGAACATGTTTTGCATTAGAATATTGTCGAAACGAACGGACTGAGGAGACACAGGATAGGCAAATGCTTGGTTCGTACTTGTCAGAATCGAAGAAGACGTACTAATATTTCCGAAAGCTGCACCTGTTGGGCAGAAAGCGTCTATTGCACATGGCATACAAATCGGTTGGCCCGTAAGACCATTTGTACTATTACCCTGCGGACAAAGAATACATGGGCCAATACTTAGTTGAGAGTTAAAAGTGCCACCGATACAATCTAGTGGGCTTGAAAATGTTCCCAAGCTAGTGTCTGCATATGAACCAGCAGCCGATGAAAAAATAATGAAAAATTTGCCTTGTGAATCTAGCATCGCCACAGTTCCAGTCTCAGTAACAACAAGAGTGATGAGAATAGGACCGAATCCCGTTGCTAGTGGCTGTTGAGCATTAGGAAAAACAGATATAATGCCGGAACTATTAAACAATGCCATGTCATAGACAAAGACTTGTGATCCCGACCAAATATAACTTAAAGAGTATGTATTAACGAGTACCACAGAAGTATGCGCATCAAACCAGCCGACTGCTTTACCCATCCCTATTGCTTGTCCATTCGAAATGGATTGTGGTGGCACAATAAATTTATTAGTGCTTCGGCCAATATTGAGTAGCACAATTGTGTTTGTTATTTGAATACCGAGTAGAACTTGACCTCCGGTGGGATTGATGCTCACCGACATATCATATCGAGCTGAGTAGGTACCCGCATCCCAGTTAGTAAGGCTCGCTTGCCATGAACTATTCGTCGGTGGTGTGTATAACCATCGATCGAGTACCTTTAGAGTCGAATTTGATATATTCAGGAGAAAGGCGCAAGGAGTGTAGTTCGTCGACTGATCACCAACAAAGCCAAGCACTACGATAAACTCATCACTAATGTCGACAGCGTGCGGAAGAAATGAGGTGTCGGGCCAAGTGACATTGCCGAGTTGCATGGAGACGTTATCCGTATCGAGATTGTACAGAAGTAGAAACTGTTGAGTGAAAGCATAGGCGAAATGACCCGTCGGTCTAAATAATAACATTTGAAACACATATGCTCAAAGATGTTGTATGATTATAGATGGGTTTTACTTCCAAGAATGTACATGTATGCTTCCTTAGTTCACAATTGATTGTGCCTTCCGTATGAAACAGAAAGAAATTATCCAGCACAAGTAGAGCTAATCTACAAATGCACTTGTCCTTATTCTGAAAGAAGTACAAACTACTATTGTCACTACCACTGCAAAGTATTCATCGCTAAACCCGGAAATTGTCAACTTCCATATCGCGGGATACTTCCAAATTGTTATGCCTACACTTGGAAGCTTGGAAATCAACTACTAGTGAATCTTGATCGTATCTCTCGACTCGTTACTCCAAGTGTTCTATTTTTTTAGAACAATTGACGTTGTCAAATTGAAGACATCTTTTTCGTGCAATCTCCATCGAAATACTAGATTGCTCTGTACTCAACAGCTGCTGTGATTCCGCTTGAGATCTTAAACAGATCGTGCTACCAATATTTAGAAACATTGCGACACAAAGGTCATCTATGCTTATTTTGATTATTAACGCACTCTAGGGGATACATAATTACAATGAGTTTTATCACGTACTTAGCAATGCTCAATCATGAACCATCCGGGATGAGTACAGCAGTGAAATGAAATATATGGGCTCTGTGTGGACGGAAAGCGAGGTGTACGGAAGGGTATGGGTGAGGGTATGTATCATTTCTTCCCATCTTCAATCACCCCACACACTTATCACTACTTTTGCAGAATAATCTTCCCTTGAGGAGAAATCGAAGTATGAGCAGTTACTTTACTATTGAATAGCTATTTACGCAATAATAGCTCCGTTTCGCTTATATATACTGGCTAATGATCACTAGCCTGCATTTTAGTCAGAATGATGAGTTTAATAAGCAGTATCCCACGACACTTCCTCTAGTTTCTATTGTTAGTCATAAAGGAGATATTTGAGTTATTAGATGCATAGAAGATCTGTTTACCAAAAAGTACGAACACAGGATATAGTAAAATCACCTCCTATGCATTCAGCAACTCCAGTATTTCTAGAGATGGAAGCTACAAGAAGTCATTGAAAATTACAATGAATTTCCTCGAAAATCGAATAAGTCATTCAACTAAACTTCAAGGATACATCGTGGTCATCAAAAGATAAACCATATCAGATACAAGAATCCAGTTTTACAAGAACAAAAACGAAAATTGAGCTCAGTAATGTTGATATTTTGTATGGTTTAGTGGAATCTGGACATCGGTATTTCGACAATGTCCAATTTCCAGTGGAATTTCGTCAAAATGTCCAATTGTACTGGAAATTGGACAAAATTGTCGAGTTTCCGAATTTGTCGGAATTCTTCCGGAATTACGGCAATATCAATTTTTGCTGATGATTTTATTGTCCAATATCCGGTAGAAATTGGACAATATGCATGACAGTTGGAACTAATATGTTTGGTTGAAATACACATTCACTCGTTTGTCAGTGAATAGAAAAGCTAAAAAGTACTATGTGATTATACAAAGTTTCACATGAAAACCTTTTTCTTTTTTATTATTAGAAGCGCTAAAAAAAGCAAAAAAAACAATGGGTATGATTTGTATATAAATAAGTTGGACATGAGAAATTGAAAGAAAGAAACAGAATTTCAGATAGGAGATATTCTTAATCTGAGGGTGTGGGTGTGGGTGTAGTAACATATAGTCAAACACACGCGCAATCCGACATCCACACACGCTTGTTTCGGAAAATGTACGTCANTATTTCAACTACACTGGAAAAAAAAATAGCACCACACGGAACCATTTTTGAAACGAATTCGAAACCTTAAAACGGGTTTCGTAAAACTTCAAGATAGTCTCGGAACGATTATAAATACTCCAGGAAATTTTTTCGAAGGTATTGTGGAAAACCTACGAAACCTAAAACTGGTTCAAAATTCGTTTCAAAGTTCGAAACCCTTTTTAACCCTTTTTAAGTTCAGTGAGAAAGTTTAAAACCTTTTATGAGTTCCACACTGAGGACAAAAACGCTTTGGTTCCGTGTAGTGCTATTTTGTTTTCAGTGTAGGATGTATATTGTCCAATTTCCATCGGATATTGGACAATAAAATAACCAGCAAAAATTGATATTGTCGTAATTCCGGAAGAATTTCGACAAATTCGGAAACTCGACAACTTTGTCCAATTTCCGGTGCAATTGGACATCTGTTGAAATTCTAGTGGAGATTGGACATCGTCGAAATTCCGATGTCGAAATTCTAGTTGCCCAAGTTCCAGTTTCCCTTTTGCATTATACAGGCAAACTAGAAATGCTCAGGTTCATGGCGAACAAGAGCGTGAACTGTACGCCCCTAGTCAAGAAACAGATATGCAAAAATGTGATACACTAGCGACGATTTTTCTATCTATAAAATCGAATTTTCATAGTTTTGAAATGCTCTTTTGTTTTTTGAGCTCGCCATCTAAATGAAAAATTTCCTATAGACACATTTCCATCGTACTTATAGTTGAGCTGACAGTTTTCATTTTTCAAACAGCACTCAAACATGAGGTGCACTTATGATGATTCTGTCATGCATCTATATTTTAATGATAAAACTGTAAATGAATGACCAGATCTAATCAAAGATTCAAGATGTGCAGGAAAATTTAACTTCAACCCTTGTGCAAACTTGTTAGCCTTATCCGATTTAATTGTGTTGAGACATTGAAGAGACGCACGGAATAAAATGTTCTCGTTACGCTGCACGAACTATTCTTCTTTCAAATTGTCTCGACTGTATTCGTATAAAAGTTCGTTATCGACACATGAATTTAGTATTCAAATCTGTAATTTCAAATAGTTTTCAATCAAGTTGATTTCAGAATATATATTAGATTGTCCTCAAAATTTTCGAAGCACTATATCATTAGAAAGGATCTAAATGATATACGAAACGATCGTCGACGCTCTTTTAAGGTGTCAACCCGACTCGCCATTGATTTTGATCTGTGCAAATGACTATCATGCTTTCTTTAGAAAATAATATTTCTTTTTCACTTGAACTGATACAATACCGTTGAATCAATCAGCCTTTTTTCATCTAGCACTAACTGGTCACATCGTTAATTTCAAGGAGTATCTTAGATATATTTGAAAACTTGATTGAAAACATCACCACGCCCACTTTCTATACTACATTTCATCTTGTGGTCGTATATGATGGCTTTTAACAACGCGGAATGACGTGGAAGAACAAGACGATGTTTTAGCTGCTTTCGACATACAAGTATTTCTTTTACTTTTATAAAAGCTACGGACATTAAAGTTCAGTGTCTCATATGTATTCTTTCTGGGCGCCGCTCCAAATCGGTCACTCCATCACCAGAAGAATTATTTTCATATGGACTAATTCGAACATATAGCAACAAACAAGCATTCTATTTCACTAAAAGATCCTCAGTCATTGGTAAAAAATGTTCTAACATTGGATTTCAAGCTGCTAATACCCTGTGAGATGCATTTTCAAACGATTTCTCTGCTTTCACTAATGACAAATTTTTGTCTTTAGCTTTCAGTTCCGACAAATGTATTTTTTTAAACGACTGTCAATATCTACTTGGACTGTATAGTCTCTCTTTCAGAAGAGTCGAACGTTAGTGTGAATCTTCTGTACTTTAACTCTTAGGTTTAACCTTTTGCAATGTTAAAATTCTGCCTGTAAGCCTCAAATTTCAATATTCTAACTCGGATTATATTTGGTCAAATCTGAACTAAAACATCACTTTATGAGTATCCCTTAGTACTAGTTGGATTTTTTACATTATTATTAACAACAACTAATTAGTTTTCAATCCCTAATTGCTCTTCACTCACAGTTATATACAGAAAACGTTGTATAATGCAGTGACAGAACGGTGCTTATTTCAGATTGGTTAGACGGGCAGATACAGCAATGCGGTATATCGTTTTGCTCGAAAGAGAAGATAAACTGAAAATTTTAAGTGTCACAGACTATGACAAGCATATCTCGAAACCTTCTAAAGTGTCACAGATGATGATAGACATTCCGATATATCTGCCACAGTTTATTGTTGCTTATAAAGTAACATCTTCAATGTCTTGCATCATTTGTGAAAAACACTCGGAAGTGGTTTAGTTTTCTCATTACGTATTTCAATCCTAAGTAACAGCCATATCCTACAAAATTGACCTGATTGATTAAATTAGTAAGCACCATTCAACAAAGCACGAACATTTCACGACAGTATCGCGTGCTGCATAGCATACCATGTGGCGCATCATGACAAACCCTGTACTGGCGATCGCTGATTAGAACTATAGTACTATAGTTATGTGTAGTAGATCCTATCATATGTTCATCATACTAGGAGGAATTCTGCTCGGAGCTTGTGATATTTTTCACTGTGATTCACTCTAGTGTTGTTAGAGAGTACTCTAACAAACCTTATTTATTTATTTAGTTAGTTAGTTCTTGTTTCCTTTTTTTGTGTTGTGTGCTTCTTGTATGTGCAATCCAACTCGAGATGCACATACGTCAACCGTTCTTTTCCATTCTTTCTTTCCTATCTCTCTCTCTCTTCATCTCTCTCTATTGTGTCTTCTTTCCTCCCGTGCGTGACGATGCAAATAGTGGCATTGTTTCTTCGACTAGAATTTAGTGCATTTATAGAGCGATGCACCATCCTATTTATGTATAAAATAGTCTAATCGAAGAAACAAATGTCTTTTCTTCTTTCTGCCTTTGTCTCTCTCTCTCTCTCTCTCTCTCTTGTGTATGTGTTGTACAGTATAAATTGGAAAAGAAAACGAATAATAAAAGAGATCAGGTTAAGAATAGATCAAGATCGGATCAGATTAGAAAATAGAAACGTGTATTTTCTACGTTGTGAAGTTGAATTAAGTTACAACTGGGCCTCTGTAACAAGTGTGAATTATAAATCATAATTGAACGCGGAAGTACTCACTCCACAGCGACAACGAAGAAGTCAAGGTGGTTGTCATTTGCATTATCGGTATCATACAGAAACTGATCAATAGTATGTATCTTGTAGTCACTGTTGTTCCATCCATCACAAGCAAACACGAAATCTTCTATCGTCATTGTAGTGGATGTATTACCAACTCCGCTGGTATCTACATATGTCAATGAACCCATGAATGGTACATCTGTAGTGTTCACACCGATGAAGACGAATCGAATAGCATCATTAAGTGTCGTTTGTCGAGCGACTGCCACAGCATAGATGTACTGACTCACGTCTTCATAGTTAACTGTACAAATGCTCCAGGCATTGAAAGGAGGAAAAATACGAAACAAACCGTGAGGAGGATTTGATTGGACGAAGAGCACGTCGTTGGCGGCGATTTTGAGACCATAAGCATCATACGAGGATGTATCAGGCGTAAACGACAAGACAACCGTAACCAACAAGACAATATAAAAGACGGTTTTATGGTACAGAAAGCGCATGATTGGCCAATGTGCCACGAATACCTCAAGAAGATCAGCTGTGTTGAAAAACCAGCCTTAAGAGAGAATTCAACCAAAAACCACCAAGAAGCAGGATACTAGCTAAAGAGAGATTTTTTTATATGCTCTTTGAGAAAAACAAAATAGTCAACAATATTTCTTCAATGGCTTATAATTTTTCTTTAGTGAGAACAATACTTTCAAGGGATTATCCAAGCAGCATTAGCGTAGGCTTTCGTCACGTCAGTTGGGCCTCAAACTCGAATGAATAACGTCATGTCGAATTGGTATGTTAACAAAATCAGCTCGAGTTGGATTTATCAACTACGTGTCAGATCTCCCAAAAATTCTCAAACTAAATAGCACATTTCCGTTGTCAAAGTAAAACCTCCTCTCATTTATCAGATTATCAGTAGGAAGCTAAAGGACGTTTTGAATCAGCATATACTATCTACATCTGCGGTAAAACGTTTCGTAGCACTCGAGTATGGTTCTCTACAACTATGTATTTAAGTTGAATCCGACGTTAAGGATATATTTATTAATAATAATAATAATATTCAATCATTCATATTTTATGGGGAAAAAAGGAAATTCTGTCATGTCCGCTATCAAAACAAGACCAATCGAAACTTCTCAAGTGTAAAGAGCTTCGTGATATGTTTTGTTTAGAGACCTGCGGGACAAACTTTGTTGTGTCCCGAATCCCGTCTGTCCCGTTGATAAAAGAATGTTTAAATGTTGCGTAGCTCCGTCAAAGAAAACAAAAGACCTTTTGCTACCTGATCAATAGGAAAAAAGAAGAGCGAAAATTTGTCAAACAAAATTGGTCGAGAAATTTATAGATAAAAATAAATTTGTTTTTATCAAAAATAGGAACTCGTACTTTGAACCCTGCTCGAAGTAAAGAAGATATCCGAGAAAAATAGTACTCTCGTGCTTCCATAGTATATTAACGTTTTATATAACCGACGCAGAATATTTTAATCTAGTCATTATTAGATCAGTCAAACCGAGCTTTTTGCGATAGATGCTATTTAAAATGTATTAGTTTATTTGAGATAATGTATCTCTATAATAACTTCGATATATCTGACACGTATGTGGTCTCTTTTATATCGACAATTAGTCTATCATTGTGTGAAAATTCTTTTTTTTATCATTATTTAGCTCATCACTATCAACTACAAGTTCTACTTAGAAAGTTTTTTTTTAAAATTACATTCAACTAATTTTTGTATGAAACAATTAACGTTGATCAATTTTCTTATGTATCAATTAACTTCGATCAATTTTCGTATCGATTAATTTTCATACACCCGGAAAGGCACATACGCATTTATGTACAGGTAAAATTAATAATTTGTTATTTATTAAGAGAAATATGCGAGTTTTCAATGAAATTTATTGTTTAGTTGTTGAAGTGTGTAACGAAAGAAAACTCAACTGACTTAACACCTTGTGTAACAGCAGAAAAGATTTAATTGACGACAGGAAGTCAATAATTATATGAAGGAACAGCTAAAAAACGATAATGATGATGAACAGTTTTCAGTACATCTTCTAATATTTCTTTTTTTTCTGCTTCTCATTTAAATATTAAGATGCTTATTATAAATAAAAAGTTTAAAGTACATCACACGGTTTTATGTAATTTTTAAAATTCGGGACACTGGATTTTTTCGAATTGTCCCGATCCCGTTTGTCCCTTCCCGAAAAAATTTCTGGACAGTCCCGTATGTCCCACAGAAATATAGTTTTGTTACACTCACCTATTCAATTTTTTCAATTCTAAACAACATCATTAGAAGTAGCAACAATCTTCCCATAATATAATAAATATCTTTTCAGCGTTGAAGTCACAGAATGTGAGTATTATTTTAAGGTAATTATTTTTTGCTAGCTCTCTGAAAAATTCAATATGAATCATTTCAAATTGGTAAATAAAGCTACTGTGGAGGAGGAGAAATTATTTCTTTTTTTATCCTTTCATCTTGAAAGAGCAGAATCAGATCGACCACATAAGATGTTTGCCAATGCTCTAGCTTGTCAAACAGATGCCCATGCAATGACGAATAAGAAAAGTCCTTTTTATGCGTTATTTTCAAGCGAAATAACTAGAATATGTTTACATTCTTTATTTATCTTATTCATCATTGCATAGGCATCTGTTTGACAAGCTAGAGCATTGGCAAACATCTTATGTGATCGATCTGATTCTGCTCTTTCAAGATGAAAGAAAAAAAAAAGAAATAATTTCTCCTCCTCCACAGTAGCTTTATTTACTAGTTTGAAATGATACATATTGAATTTTGCAGAGAACTAGCAAAAAATAATTACCTTAAAATAATACTCAAATTCTGTGACTTCAACGCTGAAAAGACATTTATTATGGGCAGATTGTTGCTATTTATAATGATGTTGTTTAGAATCGAAAAAATTGAATAGATGAGTGTAAAAAAATCTATCATGGAGCTGTTTACGCTTGAGACTTTTTGATTGGTCTTGTTTTGATAGCGGACATGACAGAATTTCCTTTTTTTTCCATAAAATATGAATGTTGAGGGTGTGGATGTATATGTGCGTGTATAACGACAAAATGGACGAGTAGCTTGTGCCACCCTCGGTAATGATGTCTATTGAGCTACTTCGCTTATCCAAAGTGTCACAAATTCATACATAACACACAGTTATATAAGAGAGAGTGAAAGAGAGAAGAGGAAAGAGGAAGTGATGATCAGTGAGACGGGACACCAATATCGGCACAGCGTGTAGAGCTTCTCACCATACCGACACTTTCGTCCGTTATGAAATATGAAGAAAATGTCTTTTCTGTGCAACAATAGGACCCTATCCTTCTATTATAAATCTCGGAGTAAAACGGAGAGAAGGATTACCTACCTTATTATACAAGGTCTTTTCTAAATGTCAAAAAGGTCCTGAAACAGTTTTCTGATATTTTTTATTCTAAGCTTTTTGCAATGTTTGAGAAATATCTCAGATCAAATACTTTAATATATTTCTGTGCTGGACATTGTTCTTTCCAACAAGAAAACGTTAATATCACGTCGTCCTTCAATCGCCAGATCATAGCAGAAACAAAATTTATTTAGAACCTTTGCATGACCCGTTGATTACTCGCAAGCCGAAACTAAAAATGTAATATTGCTTCGTTCGCCGGTGTATAAACTTGAGTATGGACGGAGCATAGATTAAGTATGAAAAAAAATGAATTGTTTGCCGATAAATGCACATAATCAATGTATGCACTTTATTTTTCGAAACTTTGCATGCAAAGCCTCAATATGAATTCAGTAGTTCATAAACAGTTTCACTTGGCAAGACAGCCACATGATTATGGTTTACCAAGATTTCGGATTTAGTCTACTGATGATATGTTAGAAGACTATGTAATTCAATCTTGAATTTGCCATTTTCACTGAGGATATAGGTCATGACGCTCTTCTCATATTTGAAAAAATAAAAGTGTAACCGATTGCTTGAACATTACAAACTAAATCACGAGCAGCTGATACTCATATAATATGTATCAAATGTCAAGCTTCAAAAGTTCAGTTTTCACTATGAAAAAGTGAGACCACACAAAATCTGGTGGACTAATATCGGAATCTAGCATATTTATTTTACGTTTAAAATTGAAGTATCACTTTCATTCAATGGAATTCAACGACAATCGTGGAATGTTACATGTGTTAGAACAATCCATTACTGTTTTTGCTAAACACTGAATATAAACATGGTTTCTATGATCCGCTGTAATCAAGGGGTCATGCAAAGGTTCTAAATAAATTTTGTTTCTGCTATGATCTGGCGATTGAAGGACGACGTGATATTAACGTTTTCTTGTTGGAAAGAACAATGTCCANCCCCCCCGCAACCGCCCCCCATTGATCGTAGGATTTTCGGGTAAGAAGTATAAGTGAACTGATAAGATTGACATATTAGTCAATTCCGATGAATTCTGCTAGGTCCCGATGAATTTTTCGATACTTGAAAATCACGTAGGATGCAACATTGGAGTGTACAGCTTACGCTCACGAGCGTGAGCGGTACATTCCTAATTATTATTACTTTTATTATTTATTACGAGTAATAAAGTTCTAAGATCAGACCAGAACTGGCCCCTATAACTATTAGGAGCCTACC